AGACGGCTTTGACAAATGTTTTGTTCAAAATGGTCTGACGGTGTTCTTTGCGCCATATGTCCCAGTCCCTCTGCTTTCTGTGATTTATTTCCAGCGATGTACTGTTGGCATAAATTCCTCATTGCGAGACCTCGCTGTCGCCCAGTCGTCCTCTAAATTAAACAATAAACATACGACGAACCATACCAATGCAGTCTGTATCGTGGTGGCTGCTGTGGTCACACCCCGCTCTATAGCCTGGAGCCGCCGCTGAGCCGGCGCCGGTATCATATGCAGTCTGGGCTGTGGCCGCCCGGGCCACCGCCGCCCCGCTCGCTGAATACAGTTCTCGGCTGGTACTGGTGGCGTCTGCACCCTGGGGTTCATCAAGCCATAAGCAAGCACACAAACATGGCGCAGCCTGCCTTCTGAACTTGCCGTGCCACTCATCAAGCAAGCATAAGCAAGCGTTAGTGACCTTTTTGTGAAGCGTGCATTTCATTATTGTGATTTTTATCAGCCGTTATTGAAGATTTTCGTGTAGCTGCTGTGCTGCATCGTCACTCAAGATGCCTGGTTTCCATCCACCAGAAGACTTTGACTTCACCTCTCCTGAAAAGTGGCCGGCGTGGCGTGATCGCTTCATCCGCTACCGACTGGCATCGGGACTTCACAAGGAGGACGGTGATGTACAAGTAGCTGCGTTGATCTATAGCATGGGCCCGCAGGCCGAGCATATCGTGTCAACTTTTAAGCTAACTGCTGAGCAAAGCAAAGATTTTGATTTTGTACAGAGCAAGCTAGACGAGTATTTCATTCCGAGACGGAACTTCGTTGCAGAACGTCACAACTTCGAGCTCCGCTGCCAAGGGTCACACGAGACCAACGAATCGTATATCAGGGCATTGTTCTCTCTCGCCGAGCATTGTGGCTTTGCAGACGCTGACGAGCGGATCCGGGATCGTCTTATATCAGGGATGTCCGACAGGGAGCTGTCCCGCAAGATCCAGCTCAAATCGCTCGAGGAAGAAGTGTCTATGAATACGGTCATTACTATGATGCGTAACGTCGAAATCGTAAACAGACGTGACAGCTCCGGTCCATTTGATGTCAACAGGGTTCAAGCACCGACGCAGTACGGACAGCCGCGCCAGCAGCCACAGCACGCCCGTCAGCGCCAGCGTGGCCATCAGCAGCAGCACCAACGGCGCCAGCAGCACGGGCGACAGCAGCAGTCAACTGTCACGCAACCACGACAGCAAGCGCGTCACATCGACTCTGCAACAACATGCAGGTATTGCGGGAGAGAGCGGCATGCTTCACCGAGGGACTGTCCCGCTAAGGGAAAAGTTTGTTCCAACTGTCAGAAAATGGATCACTTCGCAGCCGTCTGCCGATCACCTAGCGTCAGACAGATAGAGCGTACAGAATCAAGCGAGCCGTTAGCGCCACATGATGCTTTCGTTGGCGAAATCGACAAAGCGTGCGCGCCGTGGAGAATCACAGTCAGTCTCTGCGGTCAGGAGGTCACGTTCAAAGTTGATTCTGGTGCCGACGTTAGCATTCTGTCTTTGAAAACCTACCAGCGACTGAACCTGCCCTCCCTTGAGCATGCCTCAAGCACGCTCACTAGCGTCGGTGGCGTGCTAACCGTAAAAGGAAAGCTGCATGGGACAATCATGTTCAAAAGCAAAGCGGAGTCGGAGGTGTTCTATGTAGTGGACTCAGCAGATAACCTCCTCTCCCGGTCGGCGTGCTCGCGTCTGGGTGTCCTCCAGTTCACAGGAGAGGTGCATGAAGATGTCTTCGGAGAAGCAGGTCTCATGAAGACGGCACCGATCAGCATCCGGCTACGCGAGGATGCCGTCCCGGTCGCTCTCTCCACAGCAAGACACGTCCCCCTGCCGCTGATGAAGCCAGTGGAGGAGGAGCTGAAGAGCATGGAAGAGCAGGGCATCATCGTACCAGAGACTGAGCCCACAGACTGGGTATCCGCGCTCGTCCCCGTCCCGAAGAACAGTGGTGTCCGGATCACAGTTGACTACAAAAAGCTGAACCAAGCCGTAAAGCGTGAGATCTTCCCGATCCCGACCCTGGAGCACCTGACGTCCAAGCTGGGCGGTGCGACACTGTTCTCCAAGCTAGACGCTTCTTCTGGCTTCTACCAGATCCCGTTGGACGAGGCAAGCTCCAAAATGACTACGTTCATCACACCGTTCGGCAGGAAGAGGTTCCTGCGCCTGCCGATGGGAATCTCACTGGCTCCGGAGTGCTTCCAGCGAAAGATGCAAGAGATGCTGGATGGACTGCCTGGAGTCATCGTCTACATGGACGACACGCTGGTTTTTGGAGATGCAAGCAACCATGACGCACGTCTCGAAGCCGTCATCAGAAGAATCCATGAATCTGGCCTCAAGCTGAACAAGACGAAATGCGAGTTGCGAAGGGACGAGGTCAAGTTTCTTGGCATGAAGATAAGCAAGAATGGCATCGGCGTGGACGACGAGAAGCTCGAAGCGATACAGCAGCTCCAGCAGCCAAAGAACGTCACAGAGCTCCGGTCTCTGCTAGGGGTGGTCAACTACCTCTGCAGGTTCGTCCCGCACATCCAGGAGCGCCTAAGGCCCCTCAACGATCTGCTGAAAAAGGACGCTGCGTGGAACTGGACGCCTCAGCAGCAGCAAGCACTGGATGATGTGAAAGCAGCCGTCACGTCCGCTCCAGTCCTGGCGTTCTACGACCCAGCGCGTGAGACAGTGGTCAGCGCAGACGCAAGCAGCTACGGAATCGGAGGATGCATCCTTCAGAAGCATGGTTCCAGCTTCAAGCCCGTCGCATTCTGCAGCAGAAGTCTGACGGACACAGAGACGAGGTGGGCCCAGATTGAAAAGGAACTACTCGCTGCAACTTGGACATGCGAGAAGATGCACGTGTTCCTGTCTGGACTGCCGTCGTTCGACCTACAGCTGGATCACAAGCCACTGATCCCGCTCATCAACACGAAAAATCTCGTAGATGCGCCAATCAGGTGTCAGCGCATGCTCATGCGACTGATGCGTTACAACGCAACAGCGGTGTACATTCCAGGGAAGCAGCACCTGGTACCTGACTTCCTCTCGCGTCACCCACTTCAGAAGCACGATGCGATCGGCGCTGTGCTACAGGAAGACGTCCACAACTTCTGCAAGAGGGTCTTCGATGACCTGCCCGCCACACCGCAGCGTCTAGTGGAGATCAGCAGGGCCCAACAGGCAGATGAACTCCTCCAGCGCGTGGTTCAGCAGACTCTCTCTGGCTGGAAGGAGGGAGCAAAGCACCCCGACATGCTGGACTACTTCGCCGCGCGTGGAGAAATCAGCGTTCTCTACCTGACAAGCGGCACACTGCTGATGTACGGCCGCCGCATCATCATACCGCCTAGTCTGCGTGAAGAGATGCTCAACCGTCTACATGACGACGGTCACTTCGGGCTCAACAAGTGCCGCCAGCGAGCAGCAGAATCCGTCTGGTGGCCCAAGATCAGCATCGACTTGAAGCGCCACGTCGAGCACTGCGCGTTCTGCCAAGTGCACGCGCCCTCCCAGCACGCTGAGCCACTGGTAACGACTCCAACGCCGTCAAGACCGTGGACTCACATCGCAGCAGACATCTTCCACTTCAACAACAGCAACTGGCTCGTGACTGTGGACCTCTTCAGCAGGTATCTGGAAATCCAACGCCTGCCCAGCCTCACAAGCACCGCAGTCATCGAGCGGCTGAAGCGCCTGTTCTCCAGACTGGGGATACCGGATCTGATGACAACAGACGGAGGAACGCAGTTCACTTCCAGCTCATTCGCCGACTTCGCAGCGTCGTACGGCTTCACACATCGCGTCACTGACCCGCACACGCCATCATCCAACGGAGCAGCTGAACGGGCCGTGAGGACCGCAAAGTGGATACTTCGCCAAAAAGATCCTCACCTCGCTCTCCTGAACTACCGAACAACGGCTGTGGAAGCCACAGGATACTCCCCAGCCCGCCTCCTGATGGGACGTGAGCTTCAGTCCCGTCTCCCCGTCGCTCAGCAGCCCGCCAAGAAGGCATGGCGGCACGCCAAACTTCGCGATGGGCGGAGAAAGAAGAAACAGGAGTCAACCGTCAATCAGAGGCGAGGCGCCCGCAACCTGCCTCCGCTGCAGCCCGGCGCCAGAGTCCGGATCAAGACAGAAAAGGGCAGCTGGTCGGCGCCCGCCATCGTCACGCAAAGGCTCTCCAGACGCAGCTATCTGGTGGAGCTCGGCGGCTGCCAATATCGCCGCAACCGACGGCACCTGCTGCTGATCCCTCCTGTTCCGTTACAGGTCCCGGCACAGCACGGAACCGTGCAACGGGCAGCACCAGTGCCACCTCCGGTGGTGCCGCCGACATCCGTGGCAGTACCACGCCCGGTGGTGACGCCACCACCACCACAGCAGCTTCCGCCAGCTGCGCCGTCGCCTGAGCCGGCGACGTCTCCGCTGGCACCCGCTCCGCCATCAGTGCAGCCCGCTGACGACCCTGTACACGTTAGCCCTCGTAAAACTCGCAGCGGTCGGATTTTCGGGGTTTAAGAAAACCAGCTTTGTGCTTGGAGTACAGCTTAGCTTTCTATAGGAGATCTTATTAGCAGTCGCGTAAGAGGGGGAGATGTATCGTGGTGGCTGCTGTGGTCACACCCCGCTCTATAGCCTGGAGCCGCCGCTGAGCCGGCGCCGGTATCATATGCAGTCTGGGCTGTGGCCGCCCGGGCCACCGCCGCCCCGCTCGCTGAATACAGTTCTCGGCTGGTACTGGTGGCGTCTGCACCCTGGGGTTCATCAAGCCATAAGCAAGCACACAAACATGGCGCAGCCTGCCTTCTGAACTTGCCGTGCCACTCATCAAGCAAGCATAAGCAAGCGTTAGTGACCTTTTTGTGAAGCGTGCATTTCATTATTGTGATTTTTATCAGCCGTTATTGAAGATTTTCGTGTAGCTGCTGTGCTGCATCGTCACTCAAGATGCCTGGTTTCCATCCACCAGAAGACTTTGACTTCACCTCTCCTGAAAAGTGGCCGGCGTGGCGTGATCGCTTCATCCGCTACCGACTGGCATCGGGACTTCACAAGGAGGACGGTGATGTACAAGTAGCTGCGTTGATCTATAGCATGGGCCCGCAGGCCGAGCATATCGTGTCAACTTTTAAGCTAACTGCTGAGCAAAGCAAAGATTTTGATTTTGTACAGAGCAAGCTAGACGAGTATTTCATTCCGAGACGGAACTTCGTTGCAGAACGTCACAACTTCGAGCTCCGCTGCCAAGGGTCACACGAGACCAACGAATCGTATATCAGGGCATTGTTCTCTCTCGCCGAGCATTGTGGCTTTGCAGACGCTGACGAGCGGATCCGGGATCGTCTTATATCAGGGATGTCCGACAGGGAGCTGTCCCGCAAGATCCAGCTCAAATCGCTCGAGGAAGAAGTGTCTATGAATACGGTCATTACTATGATGCGTAACGTCGAAATCGTAAACAGACGTGACAGCTCCGGTCCATTTGATGTCAACAGGGTTCAAGCACCGACGCAGTACGGACAGCCGCGCCAGCAGCCACAGCACGCCCGTCAGCGCCAGCGTGGCCATCAGCAGCAGCACCAACGGCGCCAGCAGCACGGGCGACAGCAGCAGTCAACTGTCACGCAACCACGACAGCAAGCGCGTCACATCGACTCTGCAACAACATGCAGGTATTGCGGGAGAGAGCGGCATGCTTCACCGAGGGACTGTCCCGCTAAGGGAAAAGTTTGTTCCAACTGTCAGAAAATGGATCACTTCGCAGCCGTCTGCCGATCACCTAGCGTCAGACAGATAGAGCGTACAGAATCAAGCGAGCCGTTAGCGCCACATGATGCTTTCGTTGGCGAAATCGACAAAGCGTGCGCGCCGTGGAGAATCACAGTCAGTCTCTGCGGTCAGGAGGTCACGTTCAAAGTTGATTCTGGTGCCGACGTTAGCATTCTGTCTTTGAAAACCTACCAGCGACTGAACCTGCCCTCCCTTGAGCATGCCTCAAGCACGCTCACTAGCGTCGGTGGCGTGCTAACCGTAAAAGGAAAGCTGCATGGGACAATCATGTTCAAAAGCAAAGCGGAGTCGGAGGTGTTCTATGTAGTGGACTCAGCAGATAACCTCCTCTCCCGGTCGGCGTGCTCGCGTCTGGGTGTCCTCCAGTTCACAGGAGAGGTGCATGAAGATGTCTTCGGAGAAGCAGGTCTCATGAAGACGGCACCGATCAGCATCCGGCTACGCGAGGATGCCGTCCCGGTCGCTCTCTCCACAGCAAGACACGTCCCCCTGCCGCTGATGAAGCCAGTGGAGGAGGAGCTGAAGAGCATGGAAGAGCAGGGCATCATCGTACCAGAGACTGAGCCCACAGACTGGGTATCCGCGCTCGTCCCCGTCCCGAAGAACAGTGGTGTCCGGATCACAGTTGACTACAAAAAGCTGAACCAAGCCGTAAAGCGTGAGATCTTCCCGATCCCGACCCTGGAGCACCTGACGTCCAAGCTGGGCGGTGCGACACTGTTCTCCAAGCTAGACGCTTCTTCTGGCTTCTACCAGATCCCGTTGGACGAGGCAAGCTCCAAAATGACTACGTTCATCACACCGTTCGGCAGGAAGAGGTTCCTGCGCCTGCCGATGGGAATCTCACTGGCTCCGGAGTGCTTCCAGCGAAAGATGCAAGAGATGCTGGATGGACTGCCTGGAGTCATCGTCTACATGGACGACACGCTGGTTTTTGGAGATGCAAGCAACCATGACGCACGTCTCGAAGCCGTCATCAGAAGAATCCATGAATCTGGCCTCAAGCTGAACAAGACGAAATGCGAGTTGCGAAGGGACGAGGTCAAGTTTCTTGGCATGAAGATAAGCAAGAATGGCATCGGCGTGGACGACGAGAAGCTCGAAGCGATACAGCAGCTCCAGCAGCCAAAGAACGTCACAGAGCTCCGGTCTCTGCTAGGGGTGGTCAACTACCTCTGCAGGTTCGTCCCGCACATCCAGGAGCGCCTAAGGCCCCTCAACGATCTGCTGAAAAAGGACGCTGCGTGGAACTGGACGCCTCAGCAGCAGCAAGCACTGGATGATGTGAAAGCAGCCGTCACGTCCGCTCCAGTCCTGGCGTTCTACGACCCAGCGCGTGAGACAGTGGTCAGCGCAGACGCAAGCAGCTACGGAATCGGAGGATGCATCCTTCAGAAGCATGGTTCCAGCTTCAAGCCCGTCGCATTCTGCAGCAGAAGTCTGACGGACACAGAGACGAGGTGGGCCCAGATTGAAAAGGAACTACTCGCTGCAACTTGGACATGCGAGAAGATGCACGTGTTCCTGTCTGGACTGCCGTCGTTCGACCTACAGCTGGATCACAAGCCACTGATCCCGCTCATCAACACGAAAAATCTCGTAGATGCGCCAATCAGGTGTCAGCGCATGCTCATGCGACTGATGCGTTACAACGCAACAGCGGTGTACATTCCAGGGAAGCAGCACCTGGTACCTGACTTCCTCTCGCGTCACCCACTTCAGAAGCACGATGCGATCGGCGCTGTGCTACAGGAAGACGTCCACAACTTCTGCAAGAGGGTCTTCGATGACCTGCCCGCCACACCGCAGCGTCTAGTGGAGATCAGCAGGGCCCAACAGGCAGATGAACTCCTCCAGCGCGTGGTTCAGCAGACTCTCTCTGGCTGGAAGGAGGGAGCAAAGCACCCCGACATGCTGGACTACTTCGCCGCGCGTGGAGAAATCAGCGTTCTCTACCTGACAAGCGGCACACTGCTGATGTACGGCCGCCGCATCATCATACCGCCTAGTCTGCGTGAAGAGATGCTCAACCGTCTACATGACGACGGTCACTTCGGGCTCAACAAGTGCCGCCAGCGAGCAGCAGAATCCGTCTGGTGGCCCAAGATCAGCATCGACTTGAAGCGCCACGTCGAGCACTGCGCGTTCTGCCAAGTGCACGCGCCCTCCCAGCACGCTGAGCCACTGGTAACGACTCCAACGCCGTCAAGACCGTGGACTCACATCGCAGCAGACATCTTCCACTTCAACAACAGCAACTGGCTCGTGACTGTGGACCTCTTCAGCAGGTATCTGGAAATCCAACGCCTGCCCAGCCTCACAAGCACCGCAGTCATCGAGCGGCTGAAGCGCCTGTTCTCCAGACTGGGGATACCGGATCTGATGACAACAGACGGAGGAACGCAGTTCACTTCCAGCTCATTCGCCGACTTCGCAGCGTCGTACGGCTTCACACATCGCGTCACTGACCCGCACACGCCATCATCCAACGGAGCAGCTGAACGGGCCGTGAGGACCGCAAAGTGGATACTTCGCCAAAAAGATCCTCACCTCGCTCTCCTGAACTACCGAACAACGGCTGTGGAAGCCACAGGATACTCCCCAGCCCGCCTCCTGATGGGACGTGAGCTTCAGTCCCGTCTCCCCGTCGCTCAGCAGCCCGCCAAGAAGGCATGGCGGCACGCCAAACTTCGCGATGGGCGGAGAAAGAAGAAACAGGAGTCAACCGTCAATCAGAGGCGAGGCGCCCGCAACCTGCCTCCGCTGCAGCCCGGCGCCAGAGTCCGGATCAAGACAGAAAAGGGCAGCTGGTCGGCGCCCGCCATCGTCACGCAAAGGCTCTCCAGACGCAGCTATCTGGTGGAGCTCGGCGGCTGCCAATATCGCCGCAACCGACGGCACCTGCTGCTGATCCCTCCTGTTCCGTTACAGGTCCCGGCACAGCACGGAACCGTGCAACGGGCAGCACCAGTGCCACCTCCGGTGGTGCCGCCGACATCCGTGGCAGTACCACGCCCGGTGGTGACGCCACCACCACCACAGCAGCTTCCGCCAGCTGCGCCGTCGCCTGAGCCGGCGACGTCTCCGCTGGCACCCGCTCCGCCATCAGTGCAGCCCGCTGACGACCCTGTACACGTTAGCCCTCGTAAAACTCGCAGCGGTCGGATTTTCGGGGTTTAAGAAAACCAGCTTTGTGCTTGGAGTACAGCTTAGCTTTCTATAGGAGATCTTATTAGCACACGCGTAAGAGGGGGAGATGTATCGTGGTGGCTGCTGTGGTCACACCCCGCTCTATAGCCTGGAGCCGCCGCTGAGCCGGCGCCGGTATCATATGCAGTCTGGGCTGTGGCCGCCCGGGCCACCGCCGCCCCGCTCGCTGAATACAGTTCTCGGCTGGTACTGGTGGCGTCTGCACCCTGGGGTTCATCAAGCCATAAGCAAGCACACAAACACAGTCAATCTTCGTTGTTTTGAAATTTGGTTGTTATTGTTCGTCAGGGACACGGGAATTCATAACGGAGTTCGGTCCACTCGCTGGTTCACTGACCAGGAATAGGTGGGTTGTTTGCGATCCTAGCCTCCGCATAGGAGCTAATGACAGTCAAAACAGCGGCTCCTCTGCAAAGTGCTTCCATCTCCCGACCATTTGCTGCGGGCTGTTGGTAGCTAGGAATGCGTGGGTCGCAGTTACGTTGGTCCTGGTATCTAGAAACGACGGAAGCTTACAACTTTGATGTTATCAAGTATCGACTGCTCAGCACGTCTGTGGTTAGCTGTTCTGTCTCGGGCGGCGTCAAACGCATGTCGTATTGCGCAGTGGTTGTAATGCAATCTTTATTAAAGATGCCGAATACCGGTATTAGCTGGGAGAGATGCCAACTCGAGATGTTATTGTAGTTGAGCCGGCCAAGTCACGCGGTTATGACAGCCATTTGGTGGTTAATCTGGCTGCCTGGGTCGTCAGAAGCATGAGATCTGACGATGAGCAGCGTACATGACTGCTGAGAGCGCGCCCGGTGCCCCTCGAGTGTACAGTTTATCGGTGGTGGGAGGGCAGTTAGCAACATCCTGATACACAGATCGTCTCTAGAACAGAACGGGACACTGTTTATCTGAATGGTCCTATCTCAGCCATGTCCCAACTGGAGTTTTGTGAGTTGGGTAGCGTATCTGAAGTTTACAGCATGGTTCGTAAGAAGCTGCTTGGCTCTATAGACTTTTGACCAGTTTGATTAGCTTGTGTGAATATAGGTAAAAGTTTTAGGCTTCTAGTGAGTGAATCTGTATTAGCGTGGGCTGGCGTGTGTGACGTATTTGGCAGTGTTTAATTAACAGTTCAATTACATAACTGGGGCACTGGCCCAATGTTTCTCTTCCAGCGCTGTGAATCCAGATGTCCTTCATATATCAGCTTAGGAAGTGCTCCCGGTGCCTCTCATCGACCTAGTGTAGACGGTCCGTCCGGCTGCTCGTTGGTCTGACTACTCTTTCAGCTCCTGTTTCATGTTCCCGTATGTAAGATACTTCATGCATTCTGCAGTGACCTTACCGGGATGTCGGACCTAATCTTTACGTATGCGCGACAGCTGTTTCGCGGCAGACTCGCTATCATGATAGATTCACATCCATGGAGTCTGAGTCCCGCTGTTACCCGGCAGCCGCACGTTTCGCCCTGTTTTATTCAGACCATGAGGGAGCCGGCGACCTTTCGTGACCCGAGCTCGTTTGGTAAGACTCCATTACCGTCGCTACGACACTGCCGGGATACTGCACTCATCTGATTCAATGATTCCAGTTGATGGATAGGGCCGGGAAGTTTTGCTGCCGCTCATCGCTCGAGTGTTTTCAGTGGAGCATTCTGTTTCGATTGGTTTGTCAGTACCTAAGTATGAAGGCAACGGATGAAAATGCGTTCTTTCTGTAATGACTCGTGATGAGGGACGTCGTGTCGCAGGCTGCTCAGTTGAAGGAAGTCCACTGAGTATATTTGGTGTGCGCTAGCGCCGTTTCTCAATTCAGGTCATGTTCATTGGCAGGAGCCAGGAGGTGGAACCCACCTGTTGAATTTCCGAGGAGCTTCTCCGCAATGGATGACGTGAACGAACACTGCATTTTACATATTCCGCTAGATCAGGAACGATCCATTGTCGGGAATTGGGTTAATGGCGTGGTGAAATACTTCTCCATTAGGTAGGTATTTCCATTATTGTTTTTCTTTAAGATGTGGCTCTGAAACATTCACTTTTGAACCCAGCGACTAGCGAGTCCTGCAGATATATTTCTACGTTTGATATTTGTGCTCGACTTTTATTTACGATCCATACGATATTGGTGGTAGTTTGTCCAGATGCGTCATCGATTCAGTCTTTTGATGCCACTTTGGCGTGCTCTTTCATCTTGATCGCGCGCCCATTACCAGGAAGAATTCCCGAGCCGCCCTTCATCTTACCACACGAATGGCCAGTGGCCTCGTTTTCTGACATGTATTGCTCCTTAGCCGACATGATGAACAATATGGGTTATTTAACAGCTTCCGGGAGTGGCTGTATGTAGCTGGCGAGCGTTTTTCTCCTAGATGCCAGACGACATTCACGGTCCTAGACTTTACATTTATGCTGAAATGAGAGCGGATAAAATTGCAATCATAGCTTAATTGCATTTTTATCCGCTCTAGATTTTATTCAAAGTCTCGGAGGATTTTAGCCGGGTTCGCGGGCTGGTTGGCCATTGCTCAGCGACTGCTGGTAAAGACAGACGACTGTTGTATATTCTCTGCACATTAGGCGGCTGACAGTGTCACGGGGTCCCCGGCCCCGCCGGCCCTCATATCGGCACAGCTGTGCCTGTCAGCTCCGCTCTCGGGTCGAGGAGGACGCGTCCCCTCAGCTGTATTGATAAACGTGTCACTGGGTGAAATGCTGCGCTGGCGAAATGGTGCCTCCGTCACAGTGACAGGGCAATGTCGCTGTCATGCTGTCAGACTTGTGGTACCGTCATAACCAGACGTGTACTTATTCCGTCTTAACCAGGACACTACTGTTATCGTTACTGCTCCAGCTATCATTTTACTAAGGGGACTGATGCTCTTTGCTGGGACACTGAGCGCTGGCTGGTGGTATGCTATCATCGGTATATTGGCAACCGCTTGCATTTTTTACATAGATTTGTAGAGTACTGCTGTGTATAATTTAATGTACCTTAGGTACGTCTACTTCACCCGTAACTCGTATTACGGTTGACTCCTGTCTACTTAGGATGAATCGATAATCAGCTCCAAGCTGTCGTGTCTTGCTCTGAGTCGTCATTTGACCATGTCATTCGTACCATAGGTGTTACTTGTTACCTCAGCCCGGGCTGCCGTGGCCACTAGGGCTGATCGTGAATAGGTCATGGCACAGGTAAACCGTGCATTGTGCAGCGACCGTGTTGATATTTGATCGGGGGAGTATAAGGCCTACCGTCGGCCGCCCACCTTCAATTGGAGGGCTCGGAGCCCATCATTGGGTTCGCTGAAGGGGGCATTACCTACCGAGGCGGTTGTGTCTGCTCCAGCATCACCTGAGCACTTCCATCACCCGAGCCCTTCCAGAGGTGGAAGCGGGCCTCTTTATGACAGGTGATGTGATGGAAACGGCAGCCAGCTCGTATTCCAGCAGCGCCTGGTGTTGTGTAAATTCTCAGAGCCGTCGGAATGAAACTTGTAGACTGAAAGCTCCCAGAGGGATTGTGAACTTGGGCGGAGGCGGTATGACATTACCCCAACCTTAGTGCCTGCATTAAAATATGAGGGCGATGGGAGACCAAGCTTCACCGTCGGTTCTGTGTTCAGCAATGCGGCGGTGGCGCTGTGAATTCTGAATTGTGTGAAATGACCTTTACCGGTGGAATCATGCGGTGTCTGCCGATTGAATATGTATGTGGATCAGCTGGTTCGGTAGGTAGGAAGCAGGTGTTCCTTGAATTTACATCCGAAAGACGAAGGAGCTACCTTTATGGTACTGCGGTTCGTGGGACACTTGCCCTCCCAAATTGCCTAACATACACATTACACAGATTATCGAAACCTTTGGCATGGTATTGAGGACTGACCGTTCTTTGTACTTTGTTGCAGATCGGGCTGGTGTCATAAGCCAGTCGTCATGGGGAACATGATGGCACGGACGATGGACGAGAACTTCGAAAAGAACAAGAAGTTCATGTCCGAGATTCAAGTGATCCAGGTAAGACTGACAGCGTTCCCGGCTCTCACTTCCCATAAGTGGTAGCTTATGGGGAGACAACGCCACACAGTGACATCTCGTGATGGTTTTCTACGTTACCAATCGCCCAATAACTGGTGGAAAATTGGACGTTACTACCGGACCAGCTTGCGTGCTATCGTAAAATATCTAATCCAGCCGCCTTCCTATTGGGCCGTTATTCACTTGCGACGGCGCGCGTGCTGCGTGATGCGCTTGTCGTGTAGCGTCGGCACAGAGACAGCCGCCCGTTGGTAGATTGGTAAGCTGCCGTCCCAGGAGAGACGTGTTCGCTTAATTGAACCTGAGGCACGTGAGCGGCTCCCAACGCGTCCCCAGAGATCAGCAGCGTCTTACGAACGGGAGACGACAGGGCTAGGTTTAATTAGTTCACGACAGACACAATATGGTGACAGGTGGAGCGGAGAAGCGGCGGAACGTGACGTGGATGTCATTGTCAACTTCATAGTGTAAACGACGGCTCATCTAGGTTGTCTTATCTGGACCTGGCTGTAATCTGTAATTTCCGTTTATCGTCTAAATCGGTGCGTCAGCTTCGCTTGGTGCTCACTGTTGAGGTTCCCTCAGTGTTCTTTTTTTTTTAGTACGTAGGTAATGAAGTTTGAAGTTCATGCTCAACTTGTGCCCATCATTCATGACTATGGCACCGCTACGGTAGGACTCTGTTAAACTACGTGGAGCATTGATCTTACCCAGCATGACCTGCCTTCAGTCTGACCACCCTAATCCCCTCCACAGTTGGACCGTCAGATTCACATGCACGATCAGCTCCGGCTGCGACGACAGGCCATGGAGATTGCCGCCGCCCGCGAGATGTTCTTCTGGTGGGCGGCCTTCTATGGCACCGCCCTGGTCGGAGCCATCGGCGGGTGAGCGGGACTGGTGGGATCGGCGGGGGCGGTGGGACCGGGGACGATAGACAGCGGGGCGGTGATGGACGCTGATAGTCTCTGCTCTCGATGTCTGCCCTGTGGTGACAGAGAGGATTTACGGCGCATAGGCTGGGGACTAAGAGACTCAGGAGGGATCGATGCGGCTTTGGAGAATGTGTTATTAGAATGGATGGTAGGTATTGTATGCGTTGCACTCGTGGTCGTCGAGATTAAATGAGCGTTCATTTCCGTCGTATATTTGGCCCCGAATGTGTAGCCTCTGAACAGATGAGGAGGGCGGCAAGGACACATTTCTGCTCACGTATTTGAAAATTGTTGAAATGACTGCCATCTAATAGATCTTCGGTTGCCGCTCATTTTGCCTTCGCCATTTCCCGTTAGGCGGTGCTAGCTGTGCAAAGTAACGTAGCTACCTACAATTACGTATTTTTTAGCTTGTTACGTTTTGATCTATATTTTACTGGCCTGGCTATCCATCTATTGCATAATATAATAAGTGATGACTGTCTTGTTTCTATTCATTCCCTTTCCACGGCTTACCAAGCTGTCTGTTTCTATGCTTCATTAGCCTTCCTGCTCGATATTGATTTGTGTCCCTAACTGCGCCCCCCGTCCCATCTTTCTCCGCAGGGTGCGCCGTGCCAAGAAGCCCGGTCTTCTGATACCGTTCGTGCCTCTTACCTTCATCGTGGCGTACCAGGCCGATCTGGCGTACGGCACCAAACTCAGCCGTATCACAGGTGAGGTCATATTTGTGACGTAACAGTGACGTCATAGGTGAAAATAACCACGGCTCAGCCGCATCAAAGGTAAGCTCGTGATCTCGTCATATTGACGTACCAGGCTGACCTAGCGTGCGGCACCAAACTCAGCCGTATCACAAGTGAGCTAATTGTGAAATGTGACGTCATAGTGTCGTACCAGGCCGACCTAGTGTACGTCACGAAGTTGAGTCGAATCACAGGTGAGCTCGTGGTCACGTCATATTGAGTCGCATCAAACTGAGTCGCATCACACATGAGACCGTAATGACGTGAAAATAGCATACCAGGCTACTCTGGCCTATTTCGCCAAACTGAGCCACATTTCGGTTGAACACATAATAACCTAGCAGATAGAGCGATGGCTGAATATTTGTAGGTGTTGGCAGTGTTGCACGCCAAGTTGTTCCCATCCATTATCAAGTTCAGGCAGACGGCATTGAGTGCGCTTCCCCTGAGCGACATCCCGGCACAACTATTCCATTTACCGCTCAGATCTGTGAATGGAGCTCGGCGATGCCCCCCGTGGGATTGGCCAATTGTGGCCGAAGTTCTGGCAAGCGATGGTCCGTTGGATGGCGCCTATCCCTGAGAACGTCCATTCGTGGTAGAATCACTCCAAGTGCCGCCGACTGATTACGTGTGTGACCGGGACACGTGGCAGGCGGCTTCGTTCCGAGCTCCGCCGCTCAGCAACTGAGAGCCTCGCCTGCTGAGCCGGTCTCGATTGACTGAGACTCAGCGTCGCGGCGGTGTTGCGGGCCGAGACGCGACCCAGCGCCCATTGGGAGCCGCTCTGCCTCCCCGTTCTATTGGACAGCCAGTCCGGCGGCGGCGTGGTTTCGGTGAGACGACCGGTGTTCCGCCGCGGTGAGATTGGCCGCCGCTGTCTCACCTGTGGAATGGGTGTGGACTTGTGGAGGCGGCTTTGGGACACTGACTCTGACTCGGGTCTGGTTTATGTGCGCCACCCGCTCGCCGAGGGTGGCGTCGGCCACTTGTGCGCGCCGTACATCTCATGAGACGGCGTCTGGGCGCGCTGCGACAGCTGGACGGGACAGAGGATCAATGTGAGACTCCGCACCGGCAGACCGGGCGTCCCCGTCCCCCGGAGAGAGGTGTGATAATGCAAATACGCCAGCTGAAGAGCCTTCTCCGTCGCCGTCGAGAAGTGCAGTCCTCGGCTCTCCCTCTCTAAAGTCGAGGCGCTGGAGAGGAAAACGCTCTGAGTCCATCGCGTTATTGGTTCTGAATTCTGAAAGTTATCAGCGTGTTTTGAACGGCACGATCGCGTCTATTTTCGACTGCAGCCCAGGGATAGGCCGATGGTGTTTTTAATCTCCTAGCTTGTTTGCTAGATTTTGTGAGTGAAATTTGACACAAAAGAAGTTTGAGGTGAATGCGTTTAGTTCTAGTTGTTTTGGTCTGTATAGCATTGTTCGGAGGTTTCCTTGGATTAAAAATTGTTTTGCTCGTGGTTGAAATGGTCCTTGTTCAATTGTTTCTTTACTTCGTAATTGAACTCAATAGAAAGTTTTGTGATTCTTTAGTGAAACACTTCTCATTCGACAGTGGATTGCGATCCAAAGAGTGTGAGTTATTCATCCGCCTACCCATATGGAGTTTATTATTAGTCTGTTGGGACTTCCGGGATGCTTCCGGGCGCGTCAACTGTAAAGTGATTTATGCTTCTACCTCAGGTATCTAACTTTGGTAATTGCGCTGCTCAAAACATCATTACTGTGCTGGTCATCTACATAATGAAATAACTATTTACATGCTTAACTTCGTCTTGAAAGTACATTAGGCTCTTTCAAATGACAAGCGTTTCTGAATAAATTTGCATGTTTGCTGTAAACGTTCAGGAGAGTAGCGCGTGCATGCTTCTATTAGTTTCTTAAAAGGCAAGGCCTCGTCTAACATGTTAACTGGGGGGGGGGGGGGGCAAACCCCCGCAGTCATCGGCCTGCCCCCCCCCCCCCAGTCAGGGCAGAAAGTCACGACTGGGGGGCCGGCAGTAGCCAAAAGGCAAACAAATTTTTATTTTGAGGCGTCAGTGCACATAAAACAAATGCGTAAACGAAACGATGCAATGTGAATTGTGAGCACATTGATATAGGTACCCGATTACCTGGGGCTGTTATCAAGTGTTTATTTTGTTTACCTGAACTTTTTTTCGCTCAGCAATACGTTACATTTCGTCTTTTCAGGCGCCCAACTCCGTGTCCCGGATATTATTTTTCCATAAGTTCGTTCAGTCCGAACTCCGAACCTTTTGAATGGAAGGATTCACAAGGACAGAGCCCCCGCTAAGCAGAGCTTGTTGCGTTGGCCCTGCCGGCTGCCCTCTACCCTCCGATCGCGCAATTCCTGATCTATGGCAGAATTTAGAGTCCAAAGTTTAACGTGCGCACATAGCCGCGCACGGCCGGTCCCCTCACTGAATTCGACTGGCTACGGCCTGCGCCACCAACTGTAACCATACTCGCCAGGAGGCCCATAAAGATCGAGCGACTCGGTCGCGCTTCGAACCTGGACTGTTATAACCGGGACGCGTGCCCTCACCACGCGGAGTCCAACGCTCTACCGCCACAAATTTCTCCTTTAGGTATCAATCTGTTGTTTCTGTCCTCGGGGCGTCAATCTCTTGTTTTTGCCTATTGTCGTCCTCGCTATCCGGCATGCGGCGTCCAACTTCTGGCTGGACGGTCACCGGTGTGCGGCTAGAGTAGCTTCTAATCGTAATGAAGCAGGCTCCCGTTCTGGGTGGTCTTATGTACGTAGGCGCAGATGCCAGATTGGTGGTCTGTCTGTGGGGACGGGAACTCTGACAGCTGGATTATCTAAAGAAGTCGGCATGGAGTCCTGGAGGGCAAATGCCAACCACTTAGGGTCCCAACGGGCCTCAAAGCATTACTACACGGGGAAATTTTCATTTTTGTTAAGTTTATAGCCTCTGACGACCTCAAGGTTGTGTCGGAGATCCACGGCAATTACGGAGAATCCACCTGAGAAGCCATCAGTCTCCAAGTTGATACACAGGGCAGTACCCCCGCGACCTCTGCCGTGACCGGATCGCTCCGCCCCGCTGCGCTCCCGCTCGAGTCGGGTCGGGTCAGAGGCGGGCGGTGACCGGGGAGAGCGCGAGTGAGAGGAACTGGGTGGTGCGTAATAGCCATTGCCAGATAGCCAATGGCTTCTTAATTCGGTGTGAGCGCGACTGAGTGACCGAATTAAAGTGACTTGTGGCGAGGGACAGGGTTCAGTGTTGCGATGCCGGGATCAGACACGCAAGATGGCCGGAGACCGGGAGACGAGCTCGATCAGCGGTCCTTGAGCCGAGGCTCATCAGTGAGCGAGCTGGTGCGCGGTTTTGACGATGCTGCCGGAAAGCGTGACCGATCCGAATCAGGAGACTCTGTGGCACCGGCAGGAAAACGAGATCGCAAAGGTGAGCCCTCTCCGTCAAACAAAAAATCGCTCAAAGAACAATATGACGCCGCGATGGAAGACCTCGAGAGTCGCATGCGTGTCTTTCTGTCGACCGAGCTGAACACCTTGCGAGATATCGTACAGACACAGTTAGACACACTCAGTGACAGAGTGGGAGATCTCGAACGTCATATAGAGGAAAAGGACGGAATAATCGAAGATTTAACACAGCAGCTAACTGAAACGAAAGAAGAACTGCGTGGAGTGCAGGCAAGGATTGAGGAATCTGAGATTATATCGCGACTCCCATGTCTGATATTATCTGGTGCAGCCATGGCGCCCCATCAGGCGGCCCAACGGTTGGCGCGCGGCCCTGCTGACGCCGCCCTGACCGACCGATCCGCCGATGGCCCGGGGGCACGGCCCGAGGAGGCGGGAAGAGCGAGTGCGGCGGGGATGGCGAGAGGAGAGAGAGGCGGACGGCGTGTCGGTACGGCGACCGATGAGCCCGAGGACGTACCGGCACTGGTGGTGGCGACACTGAATCGATGTCTGGGAGGTCTGAACATGCGCGAATCGGATGTGGATCGGGCCCACAGGCTGCCAGGCCCCAACAATCGTGTCATCGTGAGGTTTGTCAGATCTGGTCTGGGTAGCATAAGAGACCAAGTGATGTGGCGTCGTCTCGAACTTCACGGCAAAGATCTCTATGTGAATGAAAGTCTCACTCCGCTGCGCAGCAAAATATACCGCAGCCTGCTCGGAGCGAAAAAGGAAAAGAAGCTGCATACGGTTTACACACGTGGAGGTCATGTATACTTCAAGCCGGAGAAGTTCGCAGCGGGCGTGCGAGTCGAGACGATCGACAGAGTACGTGAACTTGGCTTCTCTGTGGTAGAAGATGGAGGGCGACGGGAAAATGGCGGGGGCGGCCGCCGCCCTGGCGACAGGCGCGGGCCTGCCCCTGGCCGGTAGAGTGCGATCGCTGGATCGGCCGCTGGAGCCACTGAGCGGTGTGCTGGTGAAATGTTGTGACTCTGACCTTGCTTGCGTGATCCTTGCCAATCGGCTGGCGATGCGTTGTGCTGGCTCCGATGACCCGCGGCGCCCCGCTGAGCCGGCGCGGTCATCGGCTTTGCTCCTGCTGTCCGCGTGAGGGCCGCCTGCCCGGCTCCGTCGGCCCTGCCGCGCCGTGGCGTGTCGACTCAGACGGCCTGTCGATGAGGCTCCGGTGGCTCCGGGTGGACCGGCGAGGCTGACTCGATCATCGGCTTCGACGCTGTTATCTGCAGTACCGCCTGCCCGACTCAGTCGGCCCCGGCTGCGTCGTGTCGGCCCCTGTGGCTCCGGACGGCCTGTCGATGAGGCTCCGGTGGCTCCGGGTGGACCGGCGAGGCTGGCTCGATCATCGCCTTCGACGCTGCTGTCTACAGTACCGCCTGCCTGACTCTGTCGGCCCCGGCTGCGTCGTGTCGGCCCCTGTGGCTCCGGACGGCCTGTCCATGACGGCTCCGGTGGCTCCGGACAGGCCGGCGAGACTGGCTCGATCATCGACTTCGACGCTGTTGTCTGCGGTACCGCCTGCCCGACTCAGTCGGCCCCTGGCTGCGTCGTGTCGGCTCCCGTGGCTCCGGACGGCTCCGGTGGCTCCGGTGACTCCGGGTGGACCGGCCGGGCTGGATCAATGATCGCCTACGGCGCTGTTGTCTGCAAGTACAGCTAGCATCGACTGCGTCAAAGCGGCTCCTGTGGCTCCGGACGCCTGGCTGGTCTGGCTGCGTTATCGACGGTGTCTTACTGGCGCTGTCATCGCTAATAAAATGTCAGCTGGCGGGTGTTATATACCTAGGTGCCTATACAGAATTGATTCGCGATTATGTGTGAAGAGAATGTGAATTAGAAATGTCATTGATGAAACCCGGGTCACACTGGGCAGTTTTCGCTTTTTTTTATTTTTGCTCTGCAGTCTCTTATGTTCCTATAGCGTGACTGGACGTCCCGAATTGAAACATAGCGTGGATTATTAGAGTGACAGCCGAATAAGAGGAGTCATGGGTGCAATAATTGTTTAAGCAACCTGTATGTGAGTGAAATAAATACATTTATGAAAAAAAAAAAAGTTGATACACAGGCATTACACTGGTCTGAGGGGCCCTAGTGGGAAAAATACGGTCTCCACTCAGATTGACCCTTAAAGCCTGGTATGGATCATATAAAACCAGTGTGGGCTACCATAGAGGCCGACGTGGATCCAGAAGCTGGCATTAGCCCTCAGAGCTCGGCATCGAGCGCTCAGAAGTCGGTGGGGCCCATCAGAAACCGATGTGGTTCGCAAAAAAAAAATATATATATATATATGCGTGTGGGCCCTCGACATAAGGCTCGGCATGCAAATTCCTTAGACAAGGCACTGCCACTCAAACACACGCTCAACACCGAGAAGTGTGATTATTACTGTCTGATGGGGCAATGTGAGGAGGCTATAAACTAATATACAAGGATGGGTCGGATGGCCTACTATTTTTTTTTTTTTATATTCCTGATGTCAGGGTTGTAATGAAAAATAAGTGGTCTAAATCCGGTGAGAAAACAGGATTTGGGGGTACCCTAGGTTTGGCTCCTTTAGTCTCTGCCCCCCCCCCCCCCCCCAGTGAAAATTCCTTAGACGAGGCCCTGTAAGGACCTACCTATGCTTTGGAAAACGCCTCGTTACATTTCAACAAAATGGCGTACATATTTTATGTGAAGAAACGTCGTCTTCTTTATCGTGATATCTGTCTTGAACTATCTGCTTTGGTAAATCAACAATGATTTGTTTCAGCCAAGATTGTGTCGCCTTTGCGGTGTGATGTCGTTACATCGATGAGATGTTGGATGCCAATGCGCCAAAAGCTGTATTTGGGGCCCTTCTGAACGTACTGGGCTTATGGCCTTCCAAACTTCTTAAAGACTGTTGTTTCGACCAGCATTAAAAGTAGAGACGCGCTTCGTGCAGTTGCATTTATCGAGGAGCACGTGGTAAAATCATTAACACTTACGACAAATTGTCATTATATTTCGACAATACATCAGATACAGCATACTACGTATGCCGGCCTTCCCTCCCTCTCACCCCATGGATAAGAGATACAACCTTTCTGAACTCCCTCAGTATTTCATCTAGGAGGCCATCTTCTTGCAGATGAACAGCTTGGTGTACTTGCAGTGGTTGTCGTCCCACTGTCCCGAGCCGTCCTCCAGCACGCTGACGCAGTCCTGGTCAAGCAGATCGTTGGGCTGGCCGGGGGCCCAGTGGACGTACTGGTAGGGCGTGCCGTCGGTCCACACGTAGTGGCCGTCATCCTCGAGGTCGTTGAGCCCGATCCAGGCGTCAGAGGCGCGCAAGTAGTTGGTGATGACGTCCTGCTCGGCCGGGCTGGAGACGGACATCAGGTGGCCGCCCAGCGTCTGGCACGTGGTCTCGCTGTTGCGCCACGTGTCCGTGTAGGTGGAGAGGTAGTAGCAGTTGTAGCCGACCTGCGTCCAGTCGGGCGGACAGGTGACGGCAGAGGCGGCGGCGGCCAGCGCCGACAGCAGGAGCGCGGAGCGAATCATGGTGAGGTGTCGGCGGCGAACGGAGGCTCCGGGAGGGAGCGGAGGTGCAGCGCGGGCTCCGATGGGAACAGAGGGGCGGCGTCAGGTCGGTGGCCCGTCTTATATCGGCCCAGCGGTGGGAGAACTGCAGCTGTCGGTCACGTGAACTGTTTCCGCGTCCGCTATCAGCAACGTGCCAGCCGAGATTCTACATAAGTATCTCGGATGATGTCAGTCAGTGGTGACTGGTGATTTTTATTTTTTATTCAATTTTTATTTAATTTATTGTTTGCTAAGGTGCAATCATTCCCAAGGAGGCAATGGGTTTTTGACAGTTTCATAAACATTGGTTGGTTACATGTTCAGCGTAAACATACAATAATCAGATTTGTCTGAGAACATGGACATGCAATAACATTGTAGTTTGTACCCAGGGATTTTACCCACAACGTATTCAGGACAACCATAAAAAGGATAATACCATTCGATCTATGCATACCGACCTAATCAAAAATCATTTCGGTTTAATCCAGGGATGCGGATTGCGGAGCCGTGACAATTTCAGACGGCTCCGGCTCCGGCTCCGGAGAAAAAAAAAATCGGTCCCAGCTCCGGCTCCGGTTCCGGGTGAAATGTCATGGCGGCACCGGCTCCGGCTCCGGCTCCGAGTAAAATGGTCCGGCTCCGGCTTCGGCTCCGACTCAGTACATCCCCTATGCGCAGGGATGCGGAGCCGTGGAAATTTCAGACAGCTCTGGCTCCGGGTCCGGCTCCGAGTGAACTGTCATGGCGGCTCCGGCTCCGGCTCCGGGCAAAATGTGCCGGCTCCGGCGGCTCCGGCTCCAGCTCCGGCTCCGGCTCCGCACCCCTGGTTTAATCAATCCATTGCATTGCTTTGAAAATCAGCAAGGGCGAGGACAAATGACAATTCACAAGGGTAGCTAGCTGGCCGAAATAAGTTGCTGTAACGACTTTATGATTACGGCATCGAACCCAGAACAGTTTCAGTTTTCTAAAGTAGCTCCTTCATTGCTGCATTTTGTTTTTATTTTACAACAAAACACTTGTGTGATCATTAACGATAATGCGCCCACAAAATAGCAAGACGGATGTTCGGGATTAGCTTCTATCGACCGTGATCGCCAAATGAAGTTGCAGAGGTAATGTGTTCCTGCTTTATGCTTTTCCTGCAAGTGTTCATCATATCATAAGATAAATAGAAACTCCACCTAGGTACCATTGTTTATTTTTACCTTAGTCCAAACTAAGTTACGAAGCAAAACATGCGTTATCCCCAGTGACTATGACATAGTCTATGTAAGTTGTTTTCATATCGAAGACCTTCATAATTTCACTGCCTTCTCTCCCCATCCCCACATGTATTACACTGAGAGTTTGGGGAAGTGTTTGAACGTGAATCCTCAGTAGGACCTGAAGTATTAGAACCTCGTGAAGGTCCGCTTCCATCCTCCTGGGGCTCCTTCGATCATTCAGCCCAAGCGCTCAATTCAAACGCAAAGTAGTTGTGTAGGGGAGTTGCATGTATTGATGCACAAAGCTTTTACATTTTTTTAGACTCGTAATGCACCTTACTTGTGGGATTCTTTTCGAATAGAGCTGCGTCTAGCATACTGACCTCCTGGTCCGTTTCTGTTCCTTCCCCTTTCCCGACATACACCGCAGCATGCCCTAACTGATTCCAACAGCACTCCCCGGCTGCTCTAGAAGGCGTCTTTCTCGCAAATAAACAGCTTGGTATAGACACAGTGGTTGTCGTCCCACTTTCCGGAGCCGTCCTCGAGCACGCTGACGCAGTCCTGGTCGAACAGATCGTTGGGCTGACCATCAGCCCAGTTGACATATTGCACAGGAGTGCCATCCGTCCACTGGAAGCGACCGTCGTCCACCAGATCGTTGAGTCCGATCCAGGCATCGGCGGCGTGGAGATACGTGGTGACGACGTCCTGTTCTGAAGGACTGGCGATGGACATCAGGTGGCCTCCGAGTGTCTCACAGGTGGTCTGGCCGTTCCTCCACGTGGAGGTGTAGGTGGAGAGGTAGTAGCAGCTGCTGTTGAACTGCACCCAGTCTGAGGGGCAGAGGGCGGACGTGGCGGCTACAAGCGCCAGCAGAAGTGCCGAGCGGACCATGGTGATGTGGGAGCAGATGTGGGCGGCGGAGAGTGCAGAGGCGAGTGAGTTACAGCGGCGGCGTCTGAGTGAGCCACACAGCTCCCGCCACCGGCAGTCGCCCCATCTTATACCCTGGCCCGGTGAGAGAAGCACATCTGACCGCCGCGGTATCCGGTGCCTTGCACTGTATCAGCGGAAAGGTGACGACATGCCTGCTCTGTGAGCGGCGCAGGTGAAGCAACTGCCGCCTTAGGTGCAGTTCGGGCGGGGTAGGGGCGTGGTGTGGGATAAAGGAACTTTCCCGACACTATATCCGCATGACTTTGGTGTTTCGGTTTTGTATAATTTAGCATTTCAGGCTGTCCAATAAATGGTTCACTGGGACAAGAGTTAAGCGTCTCGGCCGTAAAAAGGTCATCCTCCTTGAATGATTTTAATACACATTTCTAGAAAAATATGCATCCGACTACGTTATTTGAAAAGAGAAATGATACTCTGAAATTGAATTCCCTTAGATGCTCATATGCCAACGTTTCATTCTTCGATGGATATGGCAGATGATTTAATTTATGTATACTATCGGGGGTGTTCCGGATATTACAGGGACGTCTCAAAAACGTCCCCTAAGACTGGTTCGATTGAACAACAGCTGCTGGAAAAGAACATGGGCTGATTAAGCGCGTATACAGCGAGATATATGTAGATACGGGCTGACAACCCAAAAGCTGGTATTTTTTTCAAATCTAAAGGTTGAAGACTTTTGAGACACGATAGCTGTTCTTAACGCTCGAGTTATGCTGTTTGCATGCCACTTCTGTCTGGGCAGGGTGATGTTCCACAGTAGAGATGTCCATCGGATACCAAGTTTTTGGTATACCGATACCAAACCGATACCAACTTGGTATTTGGTATTTCAATCGTAATGTGTTTGGTATTTTGTTGCTATCATAAGCCCTCACTAATGTATAAGAGACTAAGAAATCGGTAAGAAGTTGGTATTTCCCTCATTTTCCCAAATTGGTTTGGTTTCGGTATTTTCCCGTGGTTTTGGTTGGTTTTTGGTTTGGTATCGGTATTCCGATTTTCCGTAATTGACATCACTATTCCACAGTACACGGGGTACGAACTGTTGTTTTATTTCTCATTGCTGGCAAAGCTTCGTATTGATGCCGTTAGCAATACCCGCTACACCTTACATCAGTCAGGCCGCCGTCGCCGTTTGCCCTTTCCCTGATATGATGACCATGGAATTGCCTGCTCCATTTCGCCTTCATTCTGTACCTCCCATAACCGTCACATGAATTTGGAAAACTCGCCAAACCCGGACAGGATACATCTGCTCAATTGCCCGTTGCTGCGCCCGGAACAACCGATGCTTCATGGCTGTGAGCGACTGCTGCTGTGTGATGGATGGCCTCCACCTGACTGAGTGTTCTTAGCCTTGCCTGCCACCCGCGCATTAGGCTCACTCGAGCTGTTTAGTTTGGTCGATAGCAATTTATCCATTGGTCTCTGTTTTCTCTACGGCATTGTGAGGTGTGCACTCTGAGCAAATACGAGGAGAGTGATGTTTGCCAGGTAATCTGGCGTAATGCGCCGACCTATGTTGAATATCGCACCTGTTCAGAAATGTCCGTCATCAGGAAGTTAGGAACTGTATTTTTCTTATCAAAGAAGTGGTGTGTTTCCGTCGAATGTAGCTTGAACCTTGTTCTCACCTCTTAGCTCACTGCTTGCTATGCCGGTAGCGGTAATCCTATCATTTTAGAACGACGGAACCCTTAGATACCTAACATTGTGTGATCTCGCCACTGCACGCCTCCATTCATGCTGCCCTATGCCTGACATGGGCAACCGTTCTGTTGCAGCCGAGGCGGACAGCATCCTGAAGTGTGAGGAGGAGCTGCTGCAGCAGCCGGGCGGCGTGCCGACCGCCTCGCTGATCGACGCGGCGCGACAGCGGTTCGACGACGAGAAAAGGTACACCACCAAGGTGCACGATATGTACGCGTAGCCGGTCTGTACCTCAGAGGGAGCCTCCATTCGGGAGAGTGCAGAGACTGAGTGTCTGGACCCCGGCCACTACCGGGAAGGTCGGGGCGAACGAAACCTGGAGTTACGAGATGCAATCGGTGTCAACGTGAGAGCTGCTTTAGGCAGAGGTTGGGGAGGGTGAGTCAGGAAACGGTTAAGGTTGTGTGGAGGTTGCGCCAGTGTGTTTTGATGAGTTGTTGGGTAGCTCTAAGGTTGTACTCGAACTCTGAACGTGCAGATATAGTTGGTGGGGGTACAGCCATTGAACGTCCGGGCCTCGGCGAACCTTCCGGAGGCTCGTCGCGCCCCCTAGATGTCGTCCAGATGTCGCCCCTCGCGTCCGAGAGGTCGGCTGAAGCGCTCGTAACCCGGGGAGCGGGCGGCACGTCCGACCAAGAGCCGGTATTTCCTCGCAGCGTGTCGCGCCGTGTCGGGACCGCGGGCAGCCGACTGTCCGTGCTGTGACCGTCACCATGTCTGTCATCATGTCTGACCGTCACCACTGACCGTGACGGTGACCGTCACCTCCCGTCACCGTGTCTGTGACTGCCGCACCCGTCACCACTGACCACCCCCACTCCCCCACACGCCGCCGGCTGAGCCCCGCCGTGAATGACTCGGCACGGCGGGCGTATATAGAGTGAGTTGTGACCCCGTGCTGAAATGTGTCGCCTGACTGACCTCTACTGAGCTGGGGCTGATAATTAATGGGCCGCCGGGGAAGGGGAGAGCTGTGTACAAATGTACATATTATCCGCACTGAGCTCTGGATGGGGAGCTGCATGGTAGTGACATTTAGCCGGCGTGGCTCAGAGATCAGCGGCTGAGAAAGGATTGAAATCTGTTCAATATCTGTGTTCTCTTCACCTGTCTATCATCAATCACTAACACCTGCATGTGTGTGACACTGCTGCTGCTTCTGTTGCATGCATTACATCGCTATGCTGCTTTTATCCGCTCTGCTTGCCTCTTTCACGCTACCCATAAGAATCAATCCATTATCGCTGGGTTGTATATAACGCCAGTTCCAAGCGACGCCGGCGGATGTTTGTGCTAAACAAACAACATCCCCAAAATGCAGCCTGCAAAATAGAACTGGCAGCTTCAATTTCCTGTCAGCTGAAGCAGTTTTGAACGTCCTGTTTTTACTCCAGAGTGTCGGCTCTCATTTTCATGACAGGAATTTATCCCACGGCTGTGTCGTAAATCGGTATGCGATTAATCGGTATGCGATTGTTTCAAAAGTGGGATGCATAAGTGGGCGCCTGCTTTGCATTTAATGTCTGTGATTTGCGCTTAGCGCTTTAACTAAAGCACCATTTTAAGATTACCACCAAGAGCTTGCTGTATCATGTATGCTAACTGCATCAAAGAGATCACCGCTGCCTTTTTACACGCAGCTGCTAATGCGATTAACACGCTCTATTAACGCCCAGCGTTCGTGCATCTAACCCGAAGTGGTGCTATTTTAACGTATCTCTCATATCTGGAGTTGTTTAGTCTTCATCCCTGGAACGTTTATGTTCGTGGCATGGTTCATGACAGACGCATAGCGTCGTTCTGACATTGGTTGTAATGTAATAATTTTGCTTTTATAATGTATGATTTTACTCACCCTCAATGGTTCCAAGAATCAAATGTACTGTATCTTATAAGTATTTATAGTGCTTTGACTTTTTGTCCGATGTCTTTTGCCCGCCTACAACACACATTTATTATTTGCCCGTTTTACATGATGTGTGATTATGCTCATAATTGCTGCCTCTATGCGTCTTTTTGCTTTTTCGCAAGATTGTGCAGCTTTTTCTCGGTTACTTTTGCTGGCAATCAACTTTTGATCCAGTGTTGTCGCCCCACGTATGACCGTTGTCTTGTCTGGAACAATGGCAATATATTTATATCAGGCATTGAACCTGTGGCTGTTATGTCTACCTTGTCGCTTGTGGCCTGAGCGAGACGACTGGTGACGTCAGCATCGGCTTATGACGTCGCACCAGGCAATGTGACGTCATGCGCCGCTATTCAGCCTGTCTGTCCGCCTGCACGCATTGCTTCGGGTGAACGACACATCTGTTCGTCGGTCCACCTCTCTGTGAGTTTTATTAGCTCCAGTCCTAAGTATTTTTTCTCGGATGGTTCTTATTTTAAGGGTTTTCACTTCACTCATTTATGAGGGCTTAGTTTTGGTTAAATTATCCAACTTCAACAATATTTTCCTCTCAGGGTATGCACGCGGTTTGGGATTCGGTTGTTGGTCTGTTATTTTATAGTCTCTGCACGCACGACAATTCACTGATATTTATACATAACTACTTCTTCTAAAATCTGGTAACAGACGAAGTCATTAAAATGTTATTCTCTCATCAAATATATAAATCCGATAATCATAGTTGATGTGGAGTGCGACGTTCGACAGATATACCTCTTTCGCACTGTTCACGCAGCGTTTGTTTGATTTCAGGAGCCGGTTGAGACGAACGATTATCTAGCCAGCGGGGTCAGCGATTACATTGGGGCTGCGATCAACAGTCCACGTCTACTCCGAAGTGCACGGATGAATGTTCATTTTTCCGCTGCGTGTTGGTTTGGATGCCAGCGTCGGAGTATTCGAACGTTTATGTGTGCATATTATTTATAACGAACATGCGAGTCGCTGGGTCGAAGACCTGAAGTGAATCTATGTGAATGTTGTATGTCGGTGTTGAGTGTAGATTGTGCGATCATGTGCTTGTTGTGGTGCGTCTCGTGAATCACACTGCCTAGTGTCGGGCCCGCTACTTTTTGGCCAGTTGTTTAATTGCCATCACGATAGCCTACGTTTAAAAATGATGCTTAGAGAGGATACATTTTCGTGTAAATTGTGATTGCCTAATGCCTTGTTAGTCACGAAATGCGGTCTCAAATCAGTTTATATTCTTAGTGCTTAGGGGCTTAGTAAGCTTTCTCTTTTCATTCAAGGAAAAAATGTGCATCGGAACTAGCCTATCAAACTATTTTCCTTCATAACCAACATTCCCAACTTGTATGGTATAGTTCATAACTGAATTTATCAATGAGAATATGTATTTATTTTGTCATAACTGTATTTATAATTTTGTGTTGCCTTCTGTTTATTTGCGTGCATTGATTCTTCGCTACGGTTCCAACCAGGGGCGCGTGATCTACTTTCAGACTCGGAGGTTGGGGGGGGGGGGGGGGGCACACCATAATAGAGATCAACCTCAGGTACCCCCAAAGATAGGTTTCTCACGGGTTTTAGGCCACTTATTTTTCATCCTTTGGCTTTTTTTTAACACAAAAAGAAAACATTTATATAAAAAGTGCGGTATTCCGTCTCAAAATTGCGGGGGTACCGTCCCCGTGGCCCCAGAGTTGGGGTGGGGGTGGGGAGAAGCTCTACCCCCACTGCCCCCCCCCCCCGGTTCCCGCGCCTATGCTTCCAACTGCGGTGTTATAAATCCCAAGCAAATTGTTTAACAATAGTTAATCTGTTGTGCCCTAATGGTCCGAAGGTGCATTCGCTTTTCCCACTGTCTTTGTCTTCCAACGCAATGCTGACTGCTTGAAATCGTTTGAATGTTTAACCCGAAGAATGGGATTGCTCGTTGTCTGAAGACTGTTTTAAGTGAGTGGTTGTCTATCATGTTAAATGTATTTTAGCCATGACTTGTAGGCGGTGCGGTGCCTAGTTGCAGTTTCCCTTGTAGTGCATGAAAGGCGACTATGCATGTAGGATCTTATCGCTCGATGAGAAATGGGATCTTACATACTTTCATTACTTGAAGACATATTTTATGCGTTGGTGACAAATTTGCTATGCGAAGCATGTGCCACTGTTGAAAGGTTCTATGCGTAATTGTATCAATTATTTTTGCATAATGCTGATGAATTTTATTGGTGAGCCATGTGTCTGTGAATTAATTATACAAGCTTAATGGGGGGATCCTCACGGAGACTGTTTATATCTTATATAACCCTGCTCGTTTGGTTAGCAGTATATGCTCCGGCTATGAGGCTTGCTATTTTTATGTGCGCAGTTTCGGTGACACCCGTGCGACTGTGCCTGCGCGCGTCAGCTGGAGGGCAGTGGTTCCCGGTAGTGTCCATCTCGCGGCATATCAGTTTCCGTGTGAAAACTCTGTCCGATGTTCCGCGCTGTGTCTCATACTGGCCGGCCCCAGACCGTCGTCCGTTGATGTCTGTAGATGAAGTAGGGACCTTGGCTCGACTGAAGACTAGCTCACTGTGTGGGTATTTGACGTCGCTGGAGGGACGGATTATCCTGTTGATGTTCTTGGGATTGGAGTGACTGTGACCTATGTAGAGTCTAGGGGAGCGGGAGATGGCTTGGGGAAACGGTCTATGCGGGCTAACTGGATGATGGAGGATGATGGTGTGGTGAGAACAGATGTGTTGAAAATACAAACTGACAGTTCAGGCTGGTGTTTTCTGGTAATGTCAGCGAGGTCAGTTTGATTCTGGAAGATGAAAGAAAGGATATCAGTGCAGTGCATGAGACATTTTCTACAGATGGGTACTAGGAAAGGGTCAATCGACATCGAACTTGGAAGTTATTAACGGCAAAAGTTAGCACATTCATAACGGTTTGTTAACATTCGATATTTTATTGCATCTTCGGGTTGTCATTTCGTTTCTTGTGGATGCCCGTAGCCAGTACTTGTGCTCAAATGAATCTACCCTAACAGTGTAAATGGGCGGCATGCCTGCCCGTTGTCCGCCTCGGCGGGGCTGCGGTGGCGTCATCTATGGAGACCCACTCGGCTCTCGCCCTCCCATAGCGCGCTGCCTGGACTGTGGTCACTGCCTGCAGGGGCGACATCTGTCGTGCTGTGAGGTCCTGTCTAGTTCTATAGCCTTGGCCTTGGCCTGTCTCTTCTGAGGGGACATGAGACGATGTTATTGAAACAGTTGCAACGATGGAGCTGCACAAGTGCTTAGTCTCACTGTTTTTTCAATAGGTGCGCTTTACATCATCATCCTGTGACACGTAACCTTACCCTCCCATATTCGTCCGAAGCACGAAACCCGTTGCCTGTGTCTTGCTCTGTTCCTTTTTCCTGATGTGTGCAACTCCGCTTGTCCGTGCATCTGAACAGGTCGCCGATGTGGCTACCAGCTGTTCTCCGGTTTCCTCGCTCGCCAGCTGAACTGGCTTGCGGCCTCTGGGTCGAGTCAGCTTGCTTGTGCGCGCTGACCACACCGGCACCATGAACAGGACAACTGGACCACTTGGTCAGGGCGGCTGGATCGCATCGTCACCACGTCAGGTCAGCAGAACTGGGCTATTTCGTGTCACTGGGCAATGGGGATCCGAGTTGTAGCTACTGCGGAATGAATCGAATCCGTCGGAAGTGTAACTTATATTCCTTTGGGATTTATAACAATTTGGCACTTTGGGATCACGGTGCAGGTATTGCTTGCAATCGTCGCCACTTATATTTTGATGCCTGCTGGTCTCCGGTGTGACTTCAAATTGACTATAGTAGTTTCAAGTTTGAGTTCAAGTTACTGGGGTACGTTATCATTGGATAGTGTAGTACGTTTCATCCAGACTCAGTTTTTTTTTTGGTTTTTTTATTTATCCAGACTTAGCCTCCTGCGTGTTGTAAGAAGCAATCAAACGGCTAGCGGCTTAAGATTGAGCATAGACCTCTGCATACAGAGGTCTATGGCTGGAGCTTCACTGACTGCTTGACAGTCATCATTGTATCGCGTCAGGGACAATTGCGGAGGTTTGATGTGACGCTGGAGCCATGGTAACTACATTGAGTCCAGACTCCAGGGATCGAGTTTGTAACGGTCCGAATACTCAGCTGCCTCGTACACTAATCACATACAGGAGACCAATGATTATTATTCGGCAGTCGGCGCCAACACCGCTGAACGGGTTAGCGTTTATTTGGGGAGGCTCCAGAGCGCATTGCCACCATTCATTGTAATGCCACTTTACTTACATAAGATGATATGATTTGATGCAGTTCTGGCTGGTCATTTTTTATGATACCTCGATTGATTGGCCTAAATTAGCCATGGTCAGGTTCGTCTGGTCATTTGTGCTTGTTCATCATTCCCAGCTCTGGGGATACGACATAAAGGCTGGAATGCGGCAGACTGATGCAGACATTTCGTACTTTGCACTGAACGCCAGCCCATGATGTGGGCAGCCTCTGATGAGTTCCGTGTTTCGCAAATTCTGGCCATTTTTACATCGCAGTTCTTTTTTTGCCCATTTACTGATTAAAGTGAACATCAAGTGAAAAACTCCCATGACATTTTTGGAGCACAATACCGCTGGAACACCTTGATTACCATTGGCATGCCGCTACGACAGCCATTTCTTGTTCTCTATTGTTCTCTATGTTCTCTATTGTGATTGGAAACTCAAACGGTCATCCAAGCAACAGATAGGTACATGAGCTACAGGACCCTAGGCCTACATGCTACGTCCACGGTCCTCGAAGTCCTCAAGCAAAGTCGTATCGAGCAAGTTATTCGACCCTCGCCTGAAGGCGTAACCTGTGAGCCATTTCCTCCAATCTACCTTGTCCAGTGCCCGGTCTCCACCGTTGCACTCACTCCCTAACCATGCCACTATACCGAGCTCTCAACGTCGGTGAGCCCGGGATACGGTCCGCCTGATGGGGCCGCGGCCATCAACTTCAATCAGCCGCGGCGGCCGCGCCAGCAGTGATGCTATCACATCGCCGACTTCCCGTCGTCACGCCGGTTACGAGCGGCATAGCACGGCCGTACGGCTGCGCGCCACCCACGGCGGCGGGCAGCACGGCCGCTCCTCCGCGGACACCCACGGCGCTCCCGTTCCGAGAGAGCATGTCTGGCGAGCCGGCCGTAATTGCGTTCCTCTGTATGGCCGACGGTCGCGACACGGCCTCAGCTGTCGGTGAAAGATCGCTCGCACGCGGCGCTTCGTTGGTGGTTTGCTCATTGCCGGGGAACTGAAATGCGTGCGCGGAAAATGGGCCGTAACAGACATGGAATGGTCTGTGGTTTCGGCAAATTGCCTTTTGTCAGGCTTGGTCGCTCAGGTGAGTGTTGTCAATGCTGTGTTCGACATGGTTCAGACCTTTGCGCTAATGTCGATGTGATGTTCGACATTTATAGGAGTCATGCATTTGGATTCAAGCATAACAATGTGGATGTATTTGACGTGTAAACCAGGGATTTCCATGGCCGAAAAAAGAACCCCGGACAGCGCAGCAACATTCTCTGAAATGAACGTCATGAAATGTATCACGACAGTCATAAAAAGCCTTCCCTGAAGTCTTACAAGCAAGCCAATGTCCCCTACACCTGTTTCACATATACACATCGTCGTCTAACAAATCTTCCAAGAACAAAACAACTCCCTGTAAAACTCTGTCTAGAGCTCAGACGTGACATAGCCCAGGTGTGATGTCTTACAAGCCACCGTCCTCAGTAACCCTTTGACGCACCCTCTGCTGTAGGTACAAGTTTCATCTCGGCGGAGATTAATCTAAGCTGCGCTTCTGAAGTCTTCTTAGTGGTTTTACGGTCGTCGGACATTGCACCGGATCAGGACGGATGCTGAGGCTGAAGTGAGAAGACCATGATGCAACCCGCTGAGTTTGTTTTCCTACACTCATTGTCTATGTTGATCGGTTAACGGTCGGGGTCGGCTGAAGCTAAACGAATGCCGATGCGGTATTTGTGTTCCATTTAGTATTCGTCCTAACAAGCAATCTGATGATTGATCAGTTGGTACGGCCTTCGGTTAGATGTTTGATTGACCACTGTTCATTGATCGATTTGCTTAGACAACAGCTATGCTGTCGTGCGCTCAGAATGCGCCACGAGCAGCATGTATCCGAACTGAGTTCGTTCTCTAGACCTTAAATAGGTTTAACTGAACACTTGTCATAACGATAACCTTTCCCTTGTGTAACATTGCTCCAGAAGCGGGCTCCACTCACAGCGAGACACCCCGACTGTGCTGCCCTCTGTGTCCGCGTATTCCACCTCGCCTCCGTCTCGCTTCCGTCGCCTCTCGTCTTCTCTCGCCACGCGTCTAGCTGACGCGAACCAGACATCCTCTCTCCCCGGGGACTCTGTGACAAGGTCCGCTCTGCTTCCGGCTGTGTGGGACCGGGGACGGCGCGGCCCCGGCTGGGAGGTCTATCGCGGGACACTGACCGGGCCGCCGTCAGTCAGTGAGACCAGAGGCGACGGCCAGACTCGGCAACAGCGCTCACAGCAGGCCGGCACCGGATCTGGTCATATCTGGAGCGTTTCCATACGCGAGATCCTAAGGAGACTACGTTGGAAACTGGCTGTGTGTAGAGATGACCTCGGAAATGGCAAATGGTTGACGTTGTTCGAAATCAGGAAAGACATATCACACGCATGCTGCACGTCATGATAACTCTGTATTTGCGTACAAAAATCGTGTCCAATACATCTGTACAGCATCTCACGTATATGTACACACTTAACAGGCACACGCATACACCGACACAGGATTTGGCGAGGCGACGAGCTGTGTGGCCGAGCGGCCGAGGGCGCGGCAACACAACAACACATTGAGGGCACCGCGGGCCACCGGCGGCACCGCACACAATAAATAACGAGCAACACTAATAAATAACAAACGGGAGGTACGTTTCCAGAGAGGAGTGAGCCTTTGAACGGGCCGGTCGCCCCGGCGGAATACTGTTTGGCTGACTGCTCGCGGCCGCGCAGCGCGACGGGCCACGTAATATCGGCTAGCTTGAACTCTGAGAGCTGTTTGAACTGTCCGAATCGGCAGCTTCGCGGCGCCGGCGCGGTCGGCGCGCGTCGGCGCACGTGACGGGCGCGTGCACCTCCACCTTGACGTGCGTGGTGGCCGTCACCTTTGTGGTGATGAGGGCGCCGTCGGAGCCGGCCGGTCGGCGCTCACCGCCGCCCGGCGGGTACGACGTCTCGACCACCACCTGCGGCTCGACGACGATGTCGTGCGTGCGCGCCTCCTGGCGGCACGAGGTGCCCGACTGCGAGCCGGACGACTCCTCGGTGATGGTGCTCAGACTGAGCTGGCTCGGCGCCGGCTTCAACTTCTTGGTCGGCTGCTTGGTGAGCGACGAGGAGCGGTAGACGCGCGGCCCGCGCACCCGCGGCGGCGACGGCTCGGGGCTGGGAGCTGGCAGCACGTCGGCCTCGCCGGTGGGCCGGACCTCGGCCGGTGGGCCGATCCAGCAGAGCAGTACTGGCAGCAGCACCAGGCCGTTCACCAGACCGAGCACCACCAGCGCCGCCAGCACGCAGAAGAAATACCTGCCGGGGGAGGGAGCGGCGCGTCAGACACAGGTGCGGCCCGACGAGACATCACGGCGCGACATTTACACCACAACGAGACACACCGCCGGCCCGAGGGCGGCTTAGAGCGGCGGGCTTGTTACAGCGACACTCACGATGTGGCGCACACCCTGGAGATACCGGGAACGCTGGGTCACGGGGATTAGCTCTCGGCTGTGGGAGCGAGGCCGGCGCCTGGCACAGTGTTACGACCAGCCCCGTCGGAAGCCGACATTACTGCGACCACCCGCGCGGCGCGTTCGACGAAGCGCGCTCGGGCCTTCCGACGCAGAGCTGTGCGCGCCTGGCAATTACCGGCCGGCGCAGAGCTCAGCCACGCGACAATTTACGCCGAACCATTTACCGGCGACGCGCACCATTCATACTGCGGCCGCCGCGCCTTTCTCGGGAACTGTCGCCGCTGTCGGTTCGGGAGACTGTCGGCCGAGGTTCCCACTCAGAGAGGCCGCCACCCCGGACCTGCGGGCCGCCGCGCCGCCCACACCGCCGCGGTGCCCGCCCGCTCCCACCGCACGCAGCACGCACTGCGGCCGGCGCGCCCAGTTGACCGCCGCTGGACGCAGCGCTGCAGGCTCCGCTAATCACTCCGACAAAGCAACGTAAATTACAGATAATGCCTCGTATTTATAGACTATTTCCATTTGAGCTGGCTCGTATTTCAGTCACGCCCCGGCCGGCACTGGGCCGATTACGAATTCCAGCCATCGTTATTGATGCCAGCCCCACGCAAGCCGGCAGCGCGCTGGGTGGTCCGTGTTTTCTTGCAGAAAAACCGCCCGATTAGCATACGGTGAGCAGGTGGGTGGCGGCAGCGGCGGCGGCCAGCGGACGCACACGGACGCGCCCGGGCGTCGGTCCCACGGCCGGGCACGGAGTGGCACGGCTCAGCCGGGATGGGGCGTACTCAGCACGGCCTAGTACGGCCCGGTACAGCACGCACGGCGGGCGGCAGGCCACCCTCAGAAGGTGATACCTGCGAGAATGCGGCAACGGAGGCTGTTGCGTGGTGGCTGAACCCATTCAAATAGCGGCTGGATAGTCCACGTCCCACGACTCGGCGTACTTTCCGGACCTGACCCACCGCACTGTGAGCCGCTCCTAGCCGGCTGATCCGGGCACCAGATCTGCCGTCAAACGTCTCGGCCTCGGCCGGCGGCGGGACGCATTCTCGGCCGCCCTAATCACAGCGGGGCGGGCTGCCGGCGGCGGCGCCGGCGGGCACGCGCTCGGCAGCCGGCCGGCCGGCCGCCGCTCCGGTTGTGTAATTTCGCTACGTGACCTGGCCGGCAGCCGCGGCGGGCTGCAGCGGCCACCGTCAGACAATGGCCGAGCGGGCCGGCGGCCGCCGCCCACACACCTCTCGGGCCTCCGCTCTGCAGGCGCAACGGGCCCACCGCCAGCCTCAACAGGGCCGACAGATGAGCTCCAGTCACGGCACACCACCACTAATGGCTTCATTTGACTCCATAGCTCTCAGGAGAGGGTCTCATACCGACCCACAGCACCGACACTCATTCTTCTTTCCGTAAGCAGTGTTCCCACTCCCCCATACACAAACTGACTCTACCTTGTCATTCTTGTCATGGCAGAGAACGGTCAAACGACCGTCGTCTATTCTCGAACTGGCCGTTCCGAGCAGAGGATAGAAAGAGACATCACCGCTCTCCTTTGCTCCAGCCTCCGCCCAGATGGCGCTACCTCCGCTGTCTCTCGCTCTCCAAGCGTCCCGCCAGCAATGAATCCGTCAGACGCCAGCCAGGATTGCAGGCAAAAACGGAGCAGCCCAGCACGGCCCCGCTCTGTGATCTGAGCTGTTCCGCTATCAGTTCCGCCCCACCCACCGCTGTCTCAGCTGGAACGACTGAAACGGCCGCCTGTCTCGATGGAGATCCCGCGTTCCGTCCAAAGACAGCGCTCCTCCCCACTGTCTCAGTGGGAGCCAAACGTCTCAGCCATCCGTCCGTAATGAAGGTATAACATCCCTTTTAGCCATTCCAGGAAGGTCTAATCTCTCTCATAGTCCCTTGTGAAGATATAACGTCCCTCCAGTCCCTTGTGAAGATATAACGTCCCTCCAGTCCCTAGTGAAGACATAACGTTGCTTCAGTCCCTAGTGAAGACGTCAGTACGTCACCTCCCTCCCCGCGCCCTTGTGAAGACATCGCCCCTCCCAGTCCCTAGTGGAGACATACAGTCTTTGGCCCAGCCCTGCCAATGAAGACATACATAGGTACCGTCCCTTGCCCAGCCTTCACAATAAAGACATGCCGTCCTTTCCAGTACCTAGCAAAGAGTGAAGGCCCAGCCCCACCAGTGAAGACATACCGTCCGGCGTCCGCGGCCCAGCCCCATCCATGAAGACATACCGTCCCCAGCCCAGACCCACCAATGAAGACATACCGTCCTTCCCCGCCGGCCGACGGCTCTCTATGTTAATCAGCGGCCCGGCCGCGGCGGGGCGGCGGCGCAGGCGGCACACACTCGCCGGCAAACAAATGGAAATCAGGCCGCGCGCGGCGGGGCTCGGCTCGACGGGAGGGGCGGCGCGGAGAGCCGGGCTCGGCCGAGACGAACGACTGCGAGCGGCCGGCCGGCGCGGCCAGCCGCCCGGCGCTTGGCAATTTGTTCGCTGTCAGGGCTAAATCTCACTTTCCGACGGTGGGGCCCGGGCCGTGGGACGTCCTTGTTCGCGGGCTCGTAACTCGCCGCCTCGGTGGGTCGTGGGAGGGGTGCGCAGACGGTGAGAGATGGTGGAGAGACGCGGGGTGGAGCGCAGAGACGGGGGGAAAGATTGTGCGTGGTGGGACAGGTCAGCGAGATTGGTGTGGTTGGGTGCCGGGTTGAGACGGGTGAAGCCTGAGCTCGACTCGCCCTGGCCAGAACTGCACACCCTGTCTCTATTTCCGAGGAGTGTCTGCCTGCCGTAGGACGCGACAGCGCTGACTCACTCGTTCAAAGGCCGCTGCAGCTGTCTGCAAGATGATTTCCGACCTGCATATCCAACCAGTCTGTCCAAATACGCCTCAATCAAACGTCATCGTGTCGGAGTTTCACCCAAAATCGGCGCTAACTTGCAATCCTCTCACCACAAACGGTATGGGTTGTGCGTGAACCGCAGAGTTCAGAGCCCGCAGGCCGGTACAAACCACGGGACTGCGGGTCAGCCACCCCTCTGACGGCGAGGGGTCGGCGCCGAGTCGAACCCAGCAGCGGCGACACTTGGCTCTTTGTCACCGGCGCGGTGCCTTTGTCGCGCGCCGCACCTGGGCGCACCATGAATGCCGCGGAATGCCGGTCGCCGCTCTGTATGGCTCTCAGTCTCTGCCGGGGCGCCGCGCTCAGGTAAAAACTGGCCCAGAGCCGTGGAATCGGGTGAGCGAGGCCCCGCGCCGCTCGCCGTCCTCCTTTCAATGATTAACGGCGTCGGTAATTGTATCGACGGCAGGCGGGCACCGGTAAAAAACGGACCCCGATCGGGATTTACGGGTCCTAAGGGTGTCCGGTGCGGAACGGGATAATGATCATTTGTTGTGAGCGCCGCTGGTGAGGTAAAAACGACGTGTCGACCCCCGCGCGCGCACACCGTACTGGGGAGAGCGCTGGGGCAGTTCGGCGCCCACGCCCCCGACCTCGTTAGCCCGTGTGTGTCTTAGAACCTTCACCAGGCACCCCCTGAGGCGGGAAAGTCGAGAGGCATTACCCCAGAAGACGGCGAGGAAAGAGGAATGCCACTGGGAACGCCTACAATGCCAACCGAAAATGGAACGCCCGAAATAGGTCGATCGTCACTGATTAGCGATCCAACGTGATAGGAGCACACCATATGTGCACCTCACAAAAACGCACGCGTTCACACGCAAAAGCCATACTCTGAACATCACGCGCACGTAATTTCGCCTAATCGGGTCGATAAAACTTCAATTTTTATCGATATCACAAATTAACGGTACACGCTCGAATGACGCACAAATTGAGGCGTTAGCGCTCAGTGTCACGCCTCAAATCAGACCCGGAACTCACCTTATAATGAAGTCGAACTCGGAGAAGGCGAGCATGAGCACGCCGAGAAACGTCGAGAAGGCGCCATGGAACACAGGCCGGAACATGTGCTCCAGACTACGCTGCACGCGCATTGTTCGGCTGCCCAGGCTGGTCAGATACCCCTGCAACACGGAGCGCGGACGTCGGTCAGACACCCCTGCATAAACAGATAAACGCACATAGGCGACAGTAGCAGCTGATAGAAAAGGTCGCTATTTCAAGCATTTATGCTGGATTGATGCTACATCAAAAGTGGACATGTTCTTATAACGTCACGAAAGTCTCGTTTGAATTAAACACTGGAGTTTCCTGTTACGTATGCCAAAAACTGATCTCGCTTATTTCTGTGGGATTTGGGGTTATCCGGTGAGCAGCTCAGAGAAGCGGTTCGATTTCCCGTGTTCACCCTAATTTCTCCACCTCCCGCTGCGCACCACCGTGCAACGCAGCGTATTAATGACTGCCGGCCGGCTGGATTAGCCCTGTTTTGTCAAGTTCAACTACCGAAAGCGAGGTTACAATTTAATCTGTCGGTTTTTACGATACCGGTCGGGCCGGGGCTTAGCGCGCCGGTTGGCGTTCGGGACCACACAGTAGTTGTGTGACGTCACTATCGGCAGTGCAGCCGGGTAAACAGCCGGCCGCCGGCTGCACGCGGCGTGTCGGACACCGACCGTGCACGATCTGGCCGCTCAGTGCACAGTCCACGAGCGTGCGGTAATGATGCACCGCGCGGCGTGTCCGACCGCCGCCGACATGGGAAATGCGTCAGCGCCGGTCGGCCGACAGCAAAAACACAGCCTCATGACCACTGATACATGCATGATAGCAATGTCTGTAATGCCACCAGTGATGCAAAAGATTCCAAGCTTCGCACTGAGCAAGTGCCATATACAATACACGTCACCCTCAGCTATGCAACCGCAGAATACCCACAACCGGCGGATCCCACACAAGAGGAGGCGCGGAGTGAGCCCCAGCCTCCGCCGCCGCCCGCCTCTCCCCGCGACGCGGAGCCGGTGCGGTTACTACACGCTCCAGTTGCTTCCAGCGGAGTCCGGTCGGCCCCTGGCGCGCCGCGAGAGTCTGGACCACCGCCGCGGCCGGCCGGCAGTGCCGCCGACCGACCGTACAGCGTAGTAGCCGCCACCACGTGAGGTCGAGATCATAAAACTTGGCCGGTGCCGGCACAGCCCGGTGAAAAATACGGCCAAATTTTATTTACGGCCGTCGAGCTGCAAGGAACTCGTTTCTGCCGCTCGACGCGGGCGGTAGCGGCGGTGGTGGTGGCGTTGGAGATGGTAGTGTCATTGGTACCGCGCGGTGTAGGGAGCAGAGGTAGCAGTGGCAGCGGCGACGGTGGCGGGCCACCCACGCGACCAGGTGCCTGCACGTGCGCCGCGGCGGCCGGCGGCCGGTGGTCCCCAGTCACTGAGCTCCGTCGGTGCAACGTGGACCACCCGCGAGGCGGCTCGCCCGGTTAGGAAAGGCATTATAACGTCCCCGCCTGGTTAGGACGGGTATTAAAGTTATCACTCGGCCAGCCGCCACCTACCACGGCTGGCCTTCAATCTAAAGCTTGACTTACTGGCCCCTGCACTGAATCCTAAGCCGGGCGCTGACGCAACGCCGCTGATCGCAATCGGCCGGCAGAGCAGCTAAGTTCGGGGATAAGCTCAGACTCGGCGCCGGCCCGCTCTAGCCCCACCGATCCCCGTGAGGCCCTTCCCGTCTCCGTACTCACCAGCAGGATGTGGACGGTGAACTCGACGCCGATGCCCACTGACATGATGAGTATCACTGCAGGCACGGCGCTCAGCCTCAGTCCGAGCAGGCCCATGACGCCGAACAGCTGGAGCACCGTCAGTCCGATCACCAGTACCACCAGTCCGGCGGCCCAGGCGTTCATCAGCACCACCGATATCACCAGGAACACGGCCACGAACACACAGAGCAGCGCCAGGCCCAAGAAGAAGCGCAGGCCCACATACTGCTCCCAGAAGGTGAACGGAACGCCGGCCGGGAAGTTGGGCAGGCCGCGCTCCTCGAACCGGCGGCAGATGGAGCGCACCTGCTCGATCGTCTCCACGATCGACTCCGTGGTGGCCATCCCGTTGAGGTAGAACGGCAGCTGGGCGTACACCAGCGGCTGAGACTTGGGGATCTTCAGCTCCACGTCGCTGGCGACATGCAGCCACTGTTTGGGCTCTGGTCGCAGCTGGGCTTGGCTGGACGTGTAGGCCAGCGCGTCGTTGGACGCCCACGCCGTCAGGTAGTTGTAGAACGCCTTGGGGTTGATGATGCCGTCCTCCACCAGCCGGACGTGCGGCAGCTGCGACTTGTCGATTGGGTACTCGACGCGGCCCGTCTGGACGAGCAGTTTGTAAGCCAGGATGCCCTCTTCGGAGGCGTTTCGAGACCACTGCTCTTGGTCGATCAGACCGAGGGCCCAGTCGTGGTCGAAAGCCTTCTGCAGATCTGCCGAAGACAAACAGTGACGAGTTAGTAAGAGTTCAAACAAAAGCAAGCAGTCGTTCCGCACGGATCCTATAGACAAGCTGTATCGCACACCTTTGACAAAGTGATACATGGAGAAAGTACAAGATACTATACTCAAATTGCATCCACAGTTAAGTGACTTTCATCGGCTTACCAAGAATGTCAGCCCTATCCACTGCACGTGTCGCTGTCAGCTCTCGAGCCCGCCCCTTGGCAGTGTGATGTATTGAAAGGTTTCTATCTGGCGTCCGAAACTCGCCGCTGATTAACGCAGCGTTCCAGTGGTTGCGACATGCCGAGAAAAACTAACGAAGCCATTACGGACGACCACCCAGGGAGCGTTCGAAGATCGATTACAGCCGTGACCGCTATCCAACCGCGATCGGCAGATATCCAACCGAAGATCCGACAGCAGATTTCGACTAATCCTGCCACAGACTCGTAGGTTTGGCTAGTAAAGAGCATCTAGACAAGCTATTGTTTACGGTTCTGGCGTCTAAATACTGCGCTGTCGAGATGTGGTGTCTCACCTAGCAGCCAGTCCCGGAACATTCCCAACCAGAAGTCGGGCAAGCCTCCGTCGTCGTTCTTGATGACTCGCGGCACTCGCGTGAACGCCTGGTGGTACTCGTGCAGCAGCTGCTGGTTGGTCGGGTACTCGAAGTTGCCCTGCGTGACGGCGAACATGTTGAAGAAGCCAAAGTAGCGCCGCTGCGCGTCCAGGAAGGTGTACTCGTCCGAGTGACGGGGTACCATGTCGGTGAGGTCGAGGCCGTCCTGCACCTGGCAGGCGCCCCAGACACCGGCAGCAGCTGCCGCCAGCGAGGCCAGCAACACGGCCAGCTTGAACGGCCGCCGCGGCAGCCAGTCGAGGTAGTGTCGCTCCACGAGCCACTGTAGGCCCAGCCGGCGGCAGTGGCGGCGGCCCTCCGGACAAAACACCGCGCCCGTCGTCGGCCGCCGTTCGTCCGCGCGCACCAGAGTCCGAGTCGACGCCACCGAGTCGAGTGACTCCACGGAGCGAGTCAGATGCGGCTGCGGGGCCGAGTCACCGCCCGCTCCGACGTCCAGCTCGGGGCCGTGACTGACGAACGTCGTGACCTCCCCGGTGCGGCTCGCCTTCGCCACAGTCGCCCGCTTCGTCGGCTGCTGCGTCTGCGTGGAGAACGACTCCAGTGGCTCTGCGTGTCCCTCCTCTGGTCCGGGCTCCGCCCAGCAGCAGACGATGTCAAACATCCGGGCGCGCCGCCGCCGCAGGTCCACGCTCATCATGGCCGGGAAGATGAGCAGGATGGAGAGCACGTTGAAGACCACCAGGATGCACGCCTGCCGGTGGGAGGGGAGCGAGGCGTCAGCTGGGGCGACACGACCCGGCGCCCGTCGGCTCCCGGCCGTCACACCGAGTGATTTGTGGCATAATTTGTGGCCACGCCGTGTTGAGAAGACATGGCGCAAACATGAGTTATGGCTGATTTATCTACAGACTCGCGACCTGTTTATCATTTAGACCAACAGGCCAGACATAAACACTCAGAGCGCACCTATTTATACACCTGTAAGCACATTGTTGCAGACGTTCTTCAACTTGACTCAGTGGACTGTATAACTGTGTGTGTGTTGACGTCTCGCATCATTTTGGTGTGGCGACCGGGGCCTGACAGGATATAGGTTGATATGGTAATGAGGCGAAATTGGGAATTTATAATATAAGAAGTGGATGCTATATGAATGGATATAATTTTGGATCAAGGTTTAAGAGCACTCTTATCAGAGCGACAAAGGAACCCTCTTTACAGAGAGCATGTTAAGACCTAAAAGGGTATGCAGAGCCCTCTTTTCAGAGAGACAAAGGAACCCTCTTTACAGAGAGCATGTTAAGACCTAAAAGGGTATGCAGAGCCCTCTTTTCAGAGAGACAAAGGAACCCTCTTTACAGAGAGCATGTTAAGACCTACATATAGAGCCCTCTTTACAGAGAGACGAAGGAACCCTCTTTACAGAGAGCAAGAGGTATTAGGAAAATAAGGAATCAGATAGGAATGATAAGTAGACCCGGTCACCGTGAAATAGAAGACTGTGCGAACTGACTGTGTGCCACTCTCCCGTGCTCTTATCCGCCGCTGCACTCCACTCTTCACCATTCACAAACACAAGATTCTTCCGAACTGGTGAGTATTGCAGATGGCGAATAGGCGATGACAACACAGTATCACTGACAAGAAGAGTTGGCCAGAGAGAGCGAGGCAGTGCTCTCTCGGCGCCGAAAAGTAAAGAAGTGAGAGCGAGGGTTGCTCCTGCCCCGTTTATGTACTGGGTCGGGAGGACACAGATGGCGACGGAAGTGATGAAATAACAAAGAAGCTACACACTACACAGCGTCCTGGTAACCCTACCACGCGGTCGGCACATGTCGGCATAACGGCTCCGGTCCGCCGGGGACACAGTTCCACGTGCGACGCCACACCAGCCCACCCCCTCCCCCCGGGTCAGTCCCTCCGGTAACAGCGCATCCTTTCATACAACTGCAGCTGTAGAACACGGTCGCAGGGAGAGAAGAGCGTCCCGTCACCCGATCACTGCCATAAAGTCTCTCGCGGACGGCCCATCTGCCGGCGGCGTGGCAGGGGGATGGGGCGGCGGCGGCGTGGAGCGGCGCCGGCCGGGATCACGAGTCGGCCCGGCCCGTCAGCTACGATCAGAGCCGAAATGAGCCGCAACACCAACTACCTAGTGCAGTTTGTCGGCAACATCACTCCCCCCTGTGTTTAGATATGCATTCTAAACACACACACCAAGGAGACGACAAACGTTCCGGCACATCCACTAACTGCATCTCATCACACCGCCGTTACTGCTCTACGGCGACAGCGGCAGTAGTCCGCTCCTTGAAGACGTTGCGGCTGGTCGCCGCCCTTCACTACGCTGGCCAGGATGTTTGACTTCACCTCCTCCATGTGGTCCGTCAGCGGTGGCGGTGGCGCTTGCGCCGGCCAGTTCTCTTCGTCGCCGCTCAGGAACGCTGGGCCGCTCAGCCACCGGCTCTCGGACATGATTTCAGATGCAGCCAGTCCCCTCGAGCAGCCATCGGCCGGGTTCATCTTTTCTGGGACGTGCCGCCTGGTGCCGCTGAAGGTTCTCTTTCCAGACGACTCCTGAGGTTTTCTCCGCTGCAGCCGTCGGCGCACGCAGGCGGAGGCCACATCGCTGGTCGAAGTGCCGCCTTCCAGAACTTTGTGCCGGCTGCTCCTCCATTTAGTCAGTTTGAGCCCCCCATCAGAGAGGGCTCGGATGGCTCCTTGCTTCAGATGCTTGGCGGTATCCACATCCGCGTCATACAGTAAGAAGTCATCCCTGCAGAAGCTTTGCTGGATCTGCTCGGGTTCTCTCGGAGGCGCTGTCCATCTTTCATTCCAGTGCTCTTGGGGCGTTTCTTTGAGGACATAGTTGGCGATGCCTGGTGACGATCGAGCCCCCAGCAAACCGGTTTTATATCGTCCTTGACTTCTGATTGTGCTCTCTTCCAACGGTTTGACCACTCTTTCTCCCTCCTTTGACCTGGGTTCAGTCTGGCAGCGCACAGTCCCGAAAGGCTCGGTAGACTGCCCTTGACTGACAGCAGCAGACCGCTCGTCCTCCTGTTCCGTCAGCAGCAGCTTCGTGGACATGACCTGGCGCAAGCTACTGGGAACGGTGGCCGAGACCGATCCTGTCAGTGCCCATCCGAGGTCGGTCTTCACTGCTACTGGTTGATTCGGGCGTCCGACACGCGTCTCTCTTTGCAGGACCGCTTCTAAGACGTTCGCTCCGATAAGCAGTTCCACTTGCCTACCGTCGTACTGTGGAAACTCAAGTCCGTGAAGGTGTTCACATCCCTCGAGCTGGCTTCCTTTTACCACAGGGGCTGTCACGTTGAGAGCTGGAACGGACCACACTTCAGGGATTTTGATGTCATTCTTCTTTCCATCAGGGTCCAATGCGCTTATGGTCAATGAGACGCGCTGCGAGGACTTCTGAGCGCCACTTCCTTCCACGTTTTGAATTCGAAGTTGGCGACGGTGCCCAGCGATCCCCAGGTCGCGTAGGACGTCTTCACTGCAGAGGGATGTTTGCGCCCCGGTATCGAGCAGCGCAAGAACCTCTTTCGAGCCTCTGATGCCATGGACTTGGACCCGAACTACCTGAAGCAAGGTGTCTGTCTCTTCGTTCAGTGACGCCGCTACGAACGGTGCGCTGCTACTGCCTTCTTCCTTGTGAGGCTTGTCGGCTACCGCTTGTCCTTTGTTGTCATGAAGCAGCGGGTGATGCTTGAACTTGCAGCCCTCGATACCGCACCTCCTGGCCATCCTGCACTTCCGGCTCCAGTGTCCTTTGCCAAGACACGAAAAGCACAGCCCTTCGGCGCTCACGATATCCAGTTTGGCTTCAGTAGTTTTGGCCTTGAACGTCGGGCAGTTTGGGAGCTTGTGCATGCCCTCGCACATCACACATGCCCTTCGTGATTCTGGGTCTGCCGAAGGAGTGGCGCCTGTCGCGAATGCCGACTTTCTTGCCGTCCCTCCGTCTCTGGACTTGGCTGATCCTTTTCTGTCGTTCGTCACAGACCGGCTGGCAGAGTGGCTAAGGACATCGACTTCTGTCTTCAACCATGAGCTGAACGCCTCCAGGGTGGGTCGCACTGGTCGGAGCCTATGCACTTCTCGGCCCCATTCTCGACCAAGCTCGACTGGTAGCTTCTCCACCACTCTTCTCAGGTTTTCGCTGCTCGCTAGGTCGCTTGAGTAGCCCAGATTGCGAAGAACTGTCACCGTGTTGTGGACGACTGAGTAGAATTGCTCCATGGCTGGGAGGTCCATGAGAGATGGCGGGGTGGAGGTGAAGATCTTTCGCAGATGGGCCTGTATGATGTCTTCCTCTCTGCCGAAGCGTTCCTGCAAGGTCTTGAGAGCCTCTTGGTAGAGTTCCCCGTTGAAGAGCATGCCGTTGATGGCTTGGGCAGCTGGTCCCTCCACCGCGTTTTGAAGGTGTGCCATACGCTCGGAGTCGGACAACGACGGCTGATTATGCACCAAAGCTTTAAACAGCCCAATCCAGCGTGGCCACTCTTGAGCGCTTCCTCGGAACGTCGGCAGGGTAAGACGTGGGATGCTCTTCACAAACGCCGATTGTTGATGAAACAAAGGCTGTTGCTCAGAGCGAACATCTGTCACCCAGTTAGCGGGATGCTGTTCGTTCTTGCTGCTCGGCAGCTCGGCGTTGTTTGCGGCTGTCTGCTGCTCAGGTTGCAGTGTTCGGCGCTGTTCTTGTGGCGGTGGTCTACGCTGAGGCAGGTCGACCGTTACTGGACCCTCCGCCACATTGCACTCCCTAGGGACCAGAGCGACGTTCTCGCCATCGAAATCGTGCCGTCTCTCCCACTCAAGGTCGCTCTCAGCTGCCTTGCAGAGACGTGCCTTCACAAGCGCTCGTTCAACCTCTTCCTCCATAGCCTTCTCCTCCAGCATGTCCTCTTGCTCTCTCTTCTGCCTTTCTCGTTCCTTTCTTGCCCTTAGATGCTTCAGCTCGAGGGCCTTCATCTCTGCAGTTATTTCAGCCTCCCTTGCCACTGTTGAGGCCTTTGAGCATTTTGAAGCCCGGGACCCACTGACCTTACTTCCGTCTCGCCGTGGAGCGAGCGACATCGGCTTCCCCTCTGTCTCGGACGCTGAGCAGCCTGAGGACTTCAACTTGATGGCATCTTCGATAGCCTTGACTGTTGAGGCGTGCCTGGCAGTCATCCGGGTGGCATACTCTTCCGCCTCCTCTATCTCTTCAACTTCCTGCATCTTCTCCATATAATCATCATTTATCTTCAGGACGCCGTCCAGCGCCGTGTTCAGGGCCTCAAGCCGCTTCCTTAATTCCTCTTCGTTCGCACGGCAAGTGATTTGTGTCTCAGCCGCGTTACAGGCACGGGTGAACTGGGCGGCCTTGCGGCCACGCTGCAGCTTCAGGACCTTCAGCTCACTGGTGGCTGTTCCTTCCTTCACTCCGTCATCGACCCTGTTCTGCGGCATCGCCTTCCCGTTGCTTTCCTCTGTTGAGTCTTGAGGCGTCAGGGCTCCCAACTCTCCAGCAGCACGTCCATTCTCTGCTCCAGCGCTGTCGCCGCTCCGTAGCATCATCTCTCTGTCGTCTCCCTCCTTTGAATCTTCCATTAGCCTTCACTTAGATCCTGCAGGGGGCGAGTTGATACCACTTGACGAACACTGGCGAGGGTTGCTACTGCGGGCTGTGCCTCTGGACCTCTTCCTCTGACTTCTCACCTCTGGCCGGGATCATCCGGCCCGGAGGACCAGAAAATGTTGCAGACGTTCTTCAACTTGACTCAGTGGACTGTATAACTGTGTGTGTGTTGACGTCTCGCATCATTTTGGTGTGGCGACCGGGGCCTGACAGGATATAGGTTGATATGGTAATGAGGCGAAATTGGGAATTTATAATATAAGAAGTGGATGCTATATGAATGGATATAATTTTGGATCAAGGTTTAAGAGCACTCTTATCAGAGCGACAAAGGAACCCTCTTTACAGAGAGCATGTTAAGACCTAAAAGGGTATGCAGAGCCCTCTTTTCAGAGAGACAAAGGAACCCTCTTTACAGAGAGCATGTTAAGACCTAAAAGGGTATGCAGAGCCCTCTTTTCAGAGAGACAAAGGAACCCTCTTTACAGAGAGCATGTTAAGACCTACATATAGAGCCCTCTTTACAGAGAGACGAAGGAACCCTCTTTACAGAGAGCAAGAGGTATTAGGAAAATAAGGAATCAGATAGGAATGATAAGTAGACCCGGTCACCGTGAAATAGAAGACTGTGCGAACTGACTGTGTGCCACTCTCCCGTGCTCTTATCCGCCGCTGCACTCCACTCTTCACCATTCACAAACACAAGATTCTTCCGAACTGGTGAGTATTGCAGATGGCGAATAGGCGATGACAACACAGTATCACTGACAAGAAGAGTTGGCCAGAGAGAGCGAGGCAGTGCTCTCTCGGCGCCGAAAAGTAAAGAAGTGAGAGCGAGGGTTGCTCCTGCCCCGTTTATGTACTGGGTCGGGAGGACACAGATGGCGACGGAAGTGATGAAATAACAAAGAAGCTACACACTACACAGCGTCCTGGTAACCCTACCACGCGGTCGGCACATGTCGGCATAACGGCTCCGGTCCGCCGGGGACACAGTTCCACGTGCGACGCCACACCAGCCCACCCCCTCCCCCCGGGTCAGTCCCTCCGGTAACAGCGCATCCTTTCATACAACTGCAGCTGTAGAACACGGTCGCAGGGAGAGAAGAGCGTCCCGTCACCCGATCACTGCCATAAAGTCTCTCGCGGACGGCCCATCTGCCGGCGGCGTGGCAGGGGGATGGGGCGGCGGCGGCGTGGAGCGGCGCCGGCCGGGATCACGAGTCGGCCCGGCCCGTCAGCTACGATCAGAGCCGAAATGAGCCGCAACACCAACTACCTAGTGCAGTTTGTCGGCAACACACATGTTCCGAAATAAACATTTCCTGGAAGCAAGGTGCAACCTGATCATTAACTCTCCGGTATGATCTACTGAGCGCACTTAGCGGCGATCTCATTCCCATCAATCCTTCTTCTGCATATTGACATGTAATCTCTCATCTCGCTAACTACCCATCGTACACAAACACCGGGAAAACCGGAATTCTCTACAATCACGTCCCGATGACCCATGACCCGCCCGGCGGACTCACCTGGAGTGAGAAGGACCTCAGCGCCGGAATGGGCAGTATGGCCGCCGACAGGAACGCCATCACATTGCAGAGCGATGTGAGGAGCACGCTGACACCGGCTCGACGCAGCACCTCGCCCACTCGATCCTGGAACAGGGAACGGCGGTCAGTGGGTTTGGCAGACTTTCACACAGAAAAACGGTAAAGCACAGGAACATTTACGGCGATAATTCGCCCGACAACCACCCAGTCTAGAGGCAAGTTCAGTGGTGGGGATGAGTGCTGGATCAACACGTGCCGCCCTCCCACCCTCCAGGGCTGAGGAGGGAGGGGGCCGGGTGGCAGAGCACAGTGCCAGAAGCCGGGGACGCCAGTCGTTGTCAAACATCCCACCCACCTCGGCGCTTTGTTTATTGTCTGTTAGTGCCACGACCGCAAGGCGAGGCCCACATATACAGCCGCCATCATACGCCTTTTACGAGTGTGTCCGATCGGACAGAGACGGATGGCGAGCTGGTGTCGAGGCGCCACTAATCGGGCTCAGAGTACAGAGCTGTCAATGGCGCAGACCGAGCGCCATTAACACGGCGTCACAATGTCCGAGGCGCTGTGGATAGCTGACAGGCTGGGTGCCGCGGAGGTGGGTGGCATTCTCCATTACCGTGGTGTATCGCCAGACAGTCGGGGACGGGACAATAGCGTGACGGAACGACGTGAGCCGCCGGCCGGTGATCAAATGGCGCAGCGCCGTGGTGCTGGAGAGTTTTGACATCTTTATGGAATTCTTACAGAGCGATGAGCTAACTTTGTCATCCAGCAAGTGCGGATATTCCCTAGTTCCAACACCTGAGCCTCTCCGCGCCGCGATCCCTCGAGTCCCACATTCCGCCGGCCACCGGGCCGTCCGCCCCCGCCCGCACAAAAAGCCCGGCCGACTGTCCCTGCGCGGCGCGCCGCGGCCGGCCATGATATACGACAGTGGTGGCCGGCCGGCGCGGGCCATATATCGCCGGAGCGGGCCGGCGGGCCCCCGCCAGCGCCGCCGGCGCGACCACCCACGGCGCCCGGCCGTCCAATTGAGCCGTATATGCACCAGCCGGGCGTCATTACCGGCCCTGGACGTGCCAGTCGCCCGATAGTCATCTCGCCGGGCCAGCGGCGGCGGTAGCGCGGCGGCGGCACCCGCGGCGCGGTGCGTCACGTCACGCCGCGTGACGCGCCGGCGGCCATCTCGGCGCTGTCGGCTGCGCGCCGTCCGACACCCACCCTCCCCCGTGGCGGCCCGGCCAGTGCGCCGAGGAATGCACTAATCAAGATGTTAACCGATTCGGCTATTCAGCGTCTCGGCCGGTGCCAGCCGGTAAGATTGGTGGCGGACCGGGCGGCCGACACGGTGCCGGCGCCGGCCGTTTGTTTGTCGCGTGCGCCCCGGCCGCCCGGCGGGTGACGCGGCCGGTGGGCGGTGATGGAGGGCCGCGGCTGTCCCCGTGTTCCCGTCACTGCCTGTGAGCGCCGCGTCCATCCCAGGTGCCGGTCCACCGGTCCGAGTCGCGCTGTTACCAACCCGTGCCCGCGTGCCACACGTGCCAGCACCGTCCCTTCCAGTCTATTTATGAGCTTACAGCACAAAGAGCGTGCCCCATTTTTCGAACGCGTCATTTGAATCCGACGGACAGGGCCGATGCGGCGCGAACTAAGTACATCTCACTGTTCGTCCAGTAATTGAGTTAACATTTACATTCGGCAATCAATTGACTCACAAACACACGAGTATCGGTCGCACTCAGTAAGCATCGAGGCGCGTCATTAGGGGAAACCAGTCGGCGCTGCCCCGTACCTACGTCACAACCAGTCTTCGACGCGTGGGGCGAGATGCCGCCGTCGGACCCAACCTCGTGTGAGATGCTCCCTACCCCACCACCCTGCTCCGTGTCCGTACACAACACAAAGGCAGCTGCGATCATACACACAAGTCGTGCTGCGGGTGCACCAAGCCTGGCGATGCGACGGGGTGATTGTGGCAGCGCGGTGGGGGATCGAAGGGGCACCTCACACCAGACACAGAGACGCGGACGGGCAGGGGAGCGGGGTCAGATTTATCGTCGTCCCCGTGTCACCCGTGTCAGACGCAGACCACCCAGACATCCAGTGACGTCATCAGTTGAAGTTAAAACCGTCAGCGTCGACGGCAGGGCTCTGAACACTGGTAGTATGTCACTGGTAATGTCAGCCGACGCGAGGGAACATCAGAGAAGTCCGGGAATCCCGGTACTACAAACCATAACCCACTGCGGCTGACATGAGACCATGTAACCCGCAGAGTCATTCAGTAACTTTAGACGACCTCGTATGTTGACCTCTGATGATGGCTTTGTATGGTGACCTTAGAGAGTGACCTTAGTGGTCACCCGACGCGGTAACCAACCCGTCACCGATGACCAAACAGGCAGGGGTAAAGGGCCGTAATAACTCCAGAGTCGCTCCGGCCAACTGTTGTTCCCCGCTGCACAGCAGGTGACCACCCACGGAGCCTCCCCCCCCCCCCCACCCCAGCCACCGAACCGGCACGGGTACAGGCTGGATAGGCCACCCACGAGATCAGAAAACGATCGCGCTCGCCCGAACAGAACGACAGTCGGCCACAGCAGTGACGGTGGGCAGCAACGGTCTTCCGCGTCCCCATCGTCGAAAAGACATTCGGGCTAATTTCTACAGCGGTACAATCGGCAAGCCCCATCGCCGGTATGTTAGGCGGCATGCAATCGTCGGCATTACGAGGAGGATTACCGCGTACTAGTGAAGGCTTCGGACGTGACCAGACACCGATACGGTACTGATTTGTGGGGAATTGCTCGGAAAAAGTCCCAGCGGTGACGCCGAGCTATCGGAGACCACACGAGCAGACGAGCCGGCCCGTTACATTCCGATGCATCGTGAGCGAGCGCTGAACAACAAGAATACTCAGCACTGCCCAACACAGATGAGTCATGCAAGTGAAGCAAGAAACTCGTCCGTTCTAGCACGATTGAAGATAGCTGTTGACGTTGACAGATTTCGCTCATTCTGGTGCTAAGGAGCTCAATGTGTAGTGAGCACATCTCTGGCGCCCGGTGTTCTGATTTCTACACGCCAGTACTCTGACAGCTATCGTTTGTATCCACTCAGAGTAACAGCGCCAGCAAGCATCGCTACTCAGTCTATCCGAGACACACAATGAGCAGCAACGGCAGAACAAATGGGCGCAATAACGGCGAGTGCTGGCCTGTATGGAGCCCGCCCGGCGGAGCGCGCGGCGCCGCGAGGGACCTACCTGGACGGGCGTGCAGCTCAGGTCCGACTCGGAGTACGTGTGGGCCATCAAGAACATGTCATCCACGCCCAGCCCGAGTGCCAGGAACGGAATGATCTGAAACGCAGGGAAAGGCGATCGTCAGTGGGAAGAATCGGGAAGCACTCGTCAGCACTTGGAAGTAGTACGCTTTCACGCTTTCAACCCTTCATCAATATAGGAATTTTCTATCTTTTTTTTAACCGCAGGTTGTTTCTTCATTAGACAAACACTATTCGTTAGAATTGTGTTTTTCTATTGATACTAGATGTCGGGGTACGGTATGCCTAAGTATCATCGTTTTTTATATTTAACACGCGCACTGCAGGGGGGGTTGTTTTCAACCCCCCCTGTGGTTTTTCGCAAATTGCGAGAAAACGGCGGCGCTACGCCAAATTTTGCATACCTGTTCTCACAACTTTTCCACACCTTGAGTAAAAATTTTGACCCCAGGTGACCTATGGTCAGGTCACCAGGTCAGGTCAAGTGACCCTACCTCGAAACGTAAATTTCGAAGTTTGCAATCCCACCAAGCCCACAGTTGTTGAGATATGATCTTGAAGCCCACAGGAAATAGTAAAGTCATCACGAGCTACAACTTGTATATCTCGGAATTTTTATATCGATGACCTAAGGTCAGGTCATTTTTGCGACCGGCCCATTATAAGTCAATGGGAGAAATTTCAACTTACTCTGAATGCCATCCTATGACTTCAATACGCTCAGGATCATAGTATTACAGGTCCCTGTTGGTGATTTCACCGAAACATATCACTTATGACCTTTGGAAGGTGATCTCCAGGTCATCTTAGGTCACCCGAGGTCACCAGCGGTTTTTCTTCAATAACTTGAGATTGAGTAGAGATAGAGACTCCGTTCGACGTTTATCGTGTTTTTCTCGTCAATGCGGATCGAATGATATGCAACATGACCTATTTCGGTCAGGTCATGACCTTGACCTGAGGTCAAATTTTCAACTTGACCTTTCGAGGTCATATTATATATCATTCGATGCGCCTTGACGAGCTAAGAACGATGGCGTTCGAATCGATCCTCTGTCTTGTGTGCAAGACAAGTTATTCAAGAAAAACTGCCGCGAAATTCCTGTTGTGAAAATCGTAACATTTTGTCTTCGGTGACCTCTGGTGACCTCGTTTTTGACCTGACCCAAAAATGATCTTAGTATTTCTTGTCGATCTCATCTTAACCTATCCAACGCCGTTTACCGCTTGTCGCTACGTTGCGCCGTTTTCGAGATCTCAGGGGGGGTTGTTTTCAACCCCCCCCCCCTGCAGTTCGTGTTCGGCTCAGACCCGCTGCAGTGCGCGTGATAAACATCAAACATTATGCACAACTTTAGTAACCTTAGTCACAACTTTAATCATGTTCACGTCGTCACTGGTCCGCTGCTGTCCAGCAGCTCCATAGATCGAGCTCAGAGCCTCTAACACCCTGCCACGCCATCACCGTGCGCGCCGCCAGCATCCGGCTGACGCGTCCGTGAGACAACGGAGGCTTTACGAGCGGCTCTCGCGAGTAAACATCGCCGTCCCTGCTACCGGGAGCCCCCTCCTTCCCCTCCACCCACCCGCCTACCCCTTCTTCCGCCCACCAGAGACGGCGTCAGGCGCCAAGACTGTTGAACGTTCAACTTAAGTCCGAACTAATTTGGTCCAAAGACACGGACTTGGTTTTCAGACGGATTGATAGTTAAATAAACGTCTTACCTGCGTGGTCGAGGCGTTGAACGGGATTCCAATGAGTCCGCAGAGTCCGAGTCCGGCGGTGACGGAGAGGGTGACGAGCAGGACTCCTGCCGCACCGAGCCCGCCCTGGGACCGGACCGGGTCCGACCAGCGCACCAGCGAAAAGAACCCGTACACCAGCTGAGGAGAGGGCAGAAAGGGAGGGTCAGAACACCAGCGCACCAACGAGAAAAACCCGTACACCAGCTGAGGAAGGCAGAAAGGGAAGTGTCAGAGCGCTGTGATCTCCAGCAAACCAGCGAGAGGAGATTGTAGGCCAGTAATTGAGAGTCAAAGACAAGCGGCGTCACAACACTGAGGCAGAGTGGTGTTGGTGTGGACCGTTAGACAGTTTTAGAGCGTTTTACAGTGCGGAGTGCTCAGGTGTATCAGAGTTACATGGCAAGTATTGACAAACAAAGAAGTTGTTACCGGGGGAATAGACCACTAGACGGACCCCTAGGGGTTGTCTTTAAATGACCATCATGTTGAGTGATGAACGGGTCATACCACACAGACAGGAGGGGCTGTGTCGCGCGGCGATCAGTCGCGATCACATATCGCGTCCATATCTAGCCGGCGATAATCCGGTTAGCATAAAATAAACAACCAAATCCCCTGCCACCGGTACGAGCACCGAGCATTCCTAGCGTATCACAGCTCAATTACGCTTGCAGCGACCCTTCACTGGGCAAGCTCATCCGAATGTCACCCGCGCCATCATCGGCGGCACGGTTTAAACAGACGCCGTCCAGTTGGCCGGCAGGGCATGTGTTTCGGCCGTGTTTACGTCGTAACTCGTCCGACTCATAACGGCTGGCTGCGCCGCCGCGCCGGAAGCGCCGCACTCTGAGCGGCCGCCGCCCAGGTCACGGCTGGATCTGGCCCGCAGCGCAGGCCGAGGCATGCAGTCCAGACGGGACCCGGGAAATGGGAACAGACCATTAGGTCCAACCGAGCGGGCGGCGCACGGACAAACACTGAAAGCCACTTAACCGGGCGGATTCCGAGAGGTCAGACACTTCACATAGCGCGCCATGGCACATCACATAAGACACCGGCATTCGGCAACATATATATAGACTCAGAAACTTAAACAGACTCCCAAATCACACTGCACACCAACTATTCCACACCTAGTCTTATCAGCTCACAGGAAAGGGTAAAGGTCCCCCATCCTTCCCACCCAGGTCACGTGACCCCGTCTCACCATAAGGCCGTATCCGATGCCGACCCGGGTCAGGTCAAGGTCGGCAAAGTGGCGCAGGATGCTGTTGAGTGAGGCCATCGAGAACGATGAGATGCTGAACGGCCGGGTGCGGTTGTGCTGGCCCGTGTGCCGCTGAATCTCCTGTGGGAGACAACAGGGGACCAGGAGGTCAGTGATGGAGCTAAATAATGGACAAAACCGACATAATAACAATAAGCAAGCATCAATAAATAGTGATATGCTCGAAGTTGATCACCCTGCTAGGTGTTTTGTGTTAAAATTAGAACTGAGTTTTGGAGCCGACCGAAGGTAAAAAAGACTTACTTCGTGGTCGCTTCAACAAAGTGGGGAAAATACCCTACAGAGCAACAGCTGCACTGGGGAACAAGTGGAAGGTCCATTTATCCACTTATTCCTCCGTTCCTATATCATGTCTTTCCCCACACGGCTCCCATTTTCCCTTTCAGTTGTCTCATTCTAACCCAGCTTAGCATACACAATCACCCAATTCGGATTCATTCCATCTGCGTGTATCCGATTATCTCTTAATCCCCTTCCCTCTTCCTCACCATCTCGTGGTGTTGGGAACTGTAGCAGCCCAGTGGAGCTCGAACGAGCTATTTACGTGCGTCAAAAGGTTCATGGAGACATCCCCGCGCGCTGGACGGGGCGAAAATCCTCTAATCCGATCACAAACGCAGTCTGAATGCGGTGCTAGAGTGAGCGAGAGAGACGGAGCGATACATGGCGTCGTCCCAACTCGCAGCTGCTCGTGCCCGACCCTATACCGGGGTGTCTGGCTGCTATAAGAAGACCGAGGAAGTGCTGTGTCTATCATAGACCGATCAGTGGCCAACTGGATGGTTGCGGTAAGGCAGCTGGAAGTTAGGCAGCACGGCTCGGCACGAATAGGCAGAAGTGGGGCGTCGCGGCGGCCCGGTGGATGCCGCGAGTACCGGTGTCACCGCCGGTAACATCCCCGCTGCCAAGAACGACAGCCGCCGTCGCTTACCGCGCAGTGCCCTGCCGTTCCCGGAGCGGCTGTGGTACAGCGGGACCACCCACGGCGCGCGGCCGGCGCGCAGTGGGGCCGCCGGCCGGCCGACCGGGGCACCTCGGCAGAGGTCGTCGTCTCGAGGTCAGCCGCAGTCGTTTCGGCGGTGGCGGCGGCCGCACCCCGCCCGGCACCTGCCCTGCTCACCGCGCGGCGGCTGGCGGCGGCGCGGCCTCCCGCCGCCAGCCGCTTCCCGCTCACAATGACTTAATTAAGCGGCCGCGCCGGGCCGGCCGTGGCGGTCGAGCGCCGCCGCGCCGACAGCAGGTTGCAGACCACCCAGGCGGTGGCCGCTCGGCCGGGGCCCGCCGCGCCGGCTGGACGGTGCGCCCGCTGCGCCCGGCGGGAGCGCTCCTTTACAGGGTGCGCGCGGCCCGACAGGGGCGGACCGCTGCCGCCCCCAGGCCAAAAAAAAATGGACCCGACCGGCCGGCTCACCGCGGGAGGTAGATGCTACCGGCAGCAGCATGCAAATGAACCCCCAACTCACCGCGAATTTACGGTGCCTACCGCGAATTTAAACTCCAATGAACCCACAGCGCGAACATTCATCATTTCAAACTTCTCAGTACCTGTAATCTGACAATTATTTATAAAACTCTAGTTCAGTGCCACCATGACATTTACCCAGCAAAAATAGCCAATATTCATCTCTTTGGACGTTGATTTGTTGGCGTCGTGTCACCGCCGGCCACACGCGATACGGCCAACCGCAGCAATGCCGGTGGGTGTCGGCGGGACGGTCCGTCGGCCCGCGCGCCATGCGGCACCCCCGTCGCGCAGAGCTCATACGATGCGCGAAAAAAAAAAGGCGGCCGGCTCGGCCGGTTTTGCCTGCCACGTTCCGGGTGGCAGAGCAGAGTCTTACGCCAAGCCCAGCTTACAGGGTGTGTCAAGGCCGGTGAAAGATCTCGTGGCCACGCCGGGACAAACACGGGCAAGCTACTTCTGCACTCATCCGGCGAGGAAGGCGCATTAATCATGACTGAGGCAGGTAAATACGATGGGAGGTAATGGAGGGACTGCTGGGGAAACGCAAAACACAGGTTTTGAGTAGCGTGGAGAATGAGGGCTGGGCAGGAGATCGGAGTTAATTCCACTCCGGAAATTGGTGACGACCTGGGAGGTCCTAATACGCGAGAGGACAGGCCGTAAATTGTAATGGACCAGAGGACAGGCTGTAATGGCGGTAGGACCAACCCCAGTCAGAGATGGATCTCTTCATTAATCCGCTGTTATCGTGTTCCAGTGGGCCATTTGGTTTGGCCAGTGGTCTTCATTACTGGGTCCACCATCGAGTGATGACATGTATCCTGTCCAGCGAATGGCCGTCTCTCCAGGTTCAGGGCGAGCAGCGATAATCAGACGATCGACGCTCGATAACTGGGCCGCACAAATTGCCTTCGATTTTCTCCAGAAACGCCTGTGTCACTAATTGCACGGGAAAAGTCGCGGTAAGCCGGCGACGGTGCACGCCACGACAGTGTCTATCATGTAATCCGTGACAGCCTAATGCGGCAGCGTTCATTCATGCAGCCCCTAATTGATACCTTGTGGCGAACCCATACATCAACCACATCAAATCCTACCGGGAACAATTTTCTATTAAAAAGGCGAATATCGTCCATCATTCAGCAGCGCCGTCTCACGCCAGCCGATTTTGAGTCACAGCTATACACTATCGTACAGCCTGCAAGAACTGTCGAACAGCTGACTCCAAAAATGGACCTACCTGTGTGAACTTGAGCTGCCAGGCGTCCAGAATGGCCTTGGCCGTCGCGAGGCTCCAGTCCATGCTGTGCGTCTTGTAGGTGTCTGCCCAGTACTCGTACAGGTTGCGTTCTCCCATCAGCTGGATAACGGTCTGCAGAGCCTTGGCCCTGTCAAAGGCAGTGCGGTGTCAGTAAGAGGCCGCTGCAGAAGTGACATTGGAGTCAGGTGACAGTTATAGAGGCAGCAGAGGTCTGCTATCGCGGTCTACAATAGCGCCGAGACGCAGACGGTGGTCGAAACAGACGCATAGAAACTTCTCTCACAGTTGCAAGCTAGCCCCAATCTGTAAGTCCCAGTAAGCCCGAAACTTCAATTCAGTAGGATATCAGCTTCAGCCTGCACCTCTCTCGGTCGGCCAGTCATTCGTGCACGGCGTTGAGATCACTCAGTCCTCCCCTCCCTCACTCCCCCACCTCCGGTCAGACGTCAGCAGGTCACCAATCCTCAGTCGACAACAGAGCGCTGGCGTCAACATCCGGTCGGTAGTCAGCACCCCTCCTCTCCCGGGGCCTCCCCTCTTCCGCCGAGATGGGTCACCGCGGTCTCCACTGGGACACTGGACCATCGTCAGCCCCGGGACCACACCCCGCGACCGCAGACGGAGCGGGACCAGCCTGCCAAGCCGCCTCCGGTCACCGGGGCGGTCACAGCCCGCCGTCGGCAGTCGCACGTCAACACCGGCGGCGCGGCTATTTTTGCCGCCGCCGCGCCAGAATAGCCACCGCTCGTGCCGGGGGTGGCGGCGCGCTGCTTACCGTCGGCACGACGAGGCAGGGTGACTGGCTCGGCCGCCAGCTACCGGGATCAGGTCGTGATGGGAACGGTGACGGACGGAGGTTGGAGCGGTGAATGAACAGTCGGGAGGTGATAGGAGCGGGGAACGGAGACGGTGGGAAAGTTGTCGGATAATGTCTTCAAGAGACGGTGGGTGGCGGCAGTGTTGGTCATGGATATTTGGATGACGTCCAAGCTTCGTAAGACTGTTTAGTTATCCCATCCAAATGATCACACATGGTGCACATTCATAACACAGCCAACGTTGTAAACACTGTGACGAAAGACCACCCTGCAGCGGTGAGGTTGAGTCACTCACACTTCCGTCACCCCACAGCCCTTTCACTCCTCCTCCTCCCCTTCCCCCGCTCACCTGACGATATGTCCGGTCCGGTTCTTCTCCGTCCCACCGACGATCAGCTGCTCGGGCCAGTGCATGTGCTTGGTGGCGAACCCGTAGCAGCCTCCAGTCAGCTCCGCGCCGATGTCCAGGCGCGCTCCCGACGCCCGGTTTGAGGCCGTCTCGGGACACTCAGGGTCGCTGGTGTTGAGGCACGGCCGGCGCTGGTAGCCGTTCGTGATGCCCGCCTGCGTTCGCCGGGAGGGCGCCGGGTCAGGTCACGGGGTCACGGGACGGCAGCGGGCCGCGTCAGGAGTGCCATGTTGCGGTCGACTAACAGCTCACTCGGCCACATTGCCCGGCTCAGGTGTGAGAAAGTTGGTTTGGTAAGTGGGTTTTCACAGTGTTGGATGTCGTGGGTTCAGAATAAATGGGCGTAACATTTTTATTCATCATTTTTATCACGCGATAATAAGAATCCGGTGGCGTGAAAAAGCTCGCGTAACGGCTGTATGAATCCCGAGAAATTCTCGGCGGCTCTTGGCGCGGCTGGAGCTGTCTGCGATAGCCATCTTTCTTGACGTGCGGCCACCCACGTCGCCGCCTGTACCGGTTCACTTACCCGCTGCCGCGAGTCTCCAGGCGCCCTTGCAGCCGCAGGGGAATACGGCAACCGTCAGGACACTCATAGTAGTTCTTATCACCACCGATTTACAGCCTAGCGTAACCTATTGCATCATTGCAATCTTGTATAAAGCTGCCATGAACCGTTTCCTGCATAGCGCGACATCGGAAACCATAGCCCGCCGCGTGCAGTGAGCACGTGGAAATGACATGCAGAGTAACCGCAGAACCGCGACTTTTCCGCATCGCTGGTTACTGCATTGTCCCGACCACCCCCTCCCCCTCTCTCCCTCCCCGAGGACCCGCCCACCGCTGCTGGGAGAAGTAATTAAGTCGTCCCCGGTCCCCGCTGGGCCCCGGGTCAGTGATAGGGGGCGGTGATTCCGTCTCAGGCTGAGAGCCCCCGCCGCGGCCCCCATCAGTTACAGGGCCGGTGACGGCTGGAGCGGGGCTGCCTGGGTGGTCCCCCGGACCGACCGGACGGAGTTGGGGGGGGGGGGGGGCAGAGTGGGACCGGATGGGGAGGGGGTCGGTGGGGATGGATCAGTCGGCTTTTTGAACGAGCGTCGAGAAGGTGACCCTTAGGTGCTAGTCGTTTAGCTGGAAATGTTCAAGGAGACGGACGATGCTCCTGCACCAAATGAATAGACGCGATTAATTTATCAGTCATTTTTTTTTTTTTTTAGTTTCATCGGGCCGTGTGCATCAGGACAAAGATTAGGTCAGTCGGGCATAGAGATCTTATATACAGTGTAAAGTAGTACAATGGCCAGTGCAGAGAATTTCACTCGACCGCTGACCACCAATGACGTCACGATTGAGCCTCCGATGACGTCAGCGGTGACCAGCTTGCGTGACACTGGGTGCTGACGTCCCCAGCTAATTACTACAAGGCGTCAGTAAACATGACCCGGTGTGATAGCAGCCAGTGGCCGGCGGAGCCTTTAGCGGTCGTGACTGGCGGCCCGACAGCCGAAATGGCCCGGCTCCCGCTAATGGAGACACACTAATAGCGCATGACTAATTTAAATACATGCATAATATACAAACATTCAATTACGGCCGGTGTGATTGGTGTGCTCTTGTGGTGTGATGCTAATATGACACTTACCCGCTTCATGTACTTTTGCAGCGTGTCAAACTGGAACTCGGACCCGAACGTGCTGTTCATATAGCTGAGCAGCTGCTCCGGGTCCAAATTGGTCCACCGAATTTCGCTGGACATTTTTCTGAAACGCACACAAAGGAGGTCAGTTGAGTGAGACGTACCAGCACAGGGATTGCGAGTAAAACACCCAGTTTTGCACAGTAAAAAGTCGGCACTTTCATGTTTGCACAGCTAGTATACACAATTATCTGGGAAGCATGCTAACATCAGCGGCAAAAATGACGTCCGAATGAATCGGCCCCACGCGCAGTGTGAACGAGTGACGTGTGTTTGAGCGTTGCCAAGAGTCGGGCCTGCTGTTTGACCATCTATCTGTCATACAAAGATAGCTGGACACTGGACAGTGCAGCGCGGCGGCACGTATTTATGCAGCATGTTTCACTAGTCGCGGGCAACTGGACCGTCTCATACTTACGGCATATGCACAGGGAACTCCGGCCCCAGCAACTTGGAGCCTTCCCAAAAACAGTCCAACGGCGTCACAAAGGAACATGGGATGAGTTTCTTCATTATCTGAAAACGGAAACCATACATGTCAATTGTCAAAATCAATCATCGTTAACTGCGTCATCTTATGATAAAATCCCAGAGCTCGGCAAAAGATAAAAGGAAGCGTCGCCGTCCTACCATTTACTACATTAACCAAAACAATCATCCCCACCAGGCTCGTATACAAATACGGCGTGTCGTGCGACCTTGAGCGGCCGGCGGCACTGAGACGGCCAGCGCCGCCGCCAGTCCGCTGGTCTGACGACACCAATCCGTCGACAGAGCGCGACCACCCGCGGCACAGGTCACGACCCGACCGCGGACAGCCGCCGCTCGTCGGCGCGGCGCCACTGGTGCAATCGCCCACTACGCCGCGTGCACAGGGTCAGATGGTGCATCGCGTGCACGGCTAGTGCACATAACTTTGAAAGGATAATATATGCACGCAAACAATGAGCGTCATCCCGGCGTCGGCCAGTACGGCGGTCGGCTTTACGACTCGGCGGCGCTGGGCCACACCCCGTCCGGTGCCGATGATCGGGGGGACGCCCCCCCCCCGCATCCCGGGCCGGCCCCAGATCTCCCCGGCATCTCCCCGCTCGAAGGGATTCCTCGGCGAGAATCCTACTCTCATGAATGGCGAGCCGATTTAGCAGATATATCCGTCTGGTTTACCCCAAACCCAGTCTCGCCCCACCCAGTACTCACTTGATCTATAAGATGCTCTTCGTACACAGGAAAACCGGGCGCATAACACAAATCGCGTAATCTCCACGTTCTGAAAGACGAAAGAATGCCACCATGTCAGCGTCCGGTATACCTAAGCCTATCCAAAGCTCAGCTCTTTGATGGAATTGCACATGACAGTACCACAGTCTACCACTCCCGCACCGTTATCACTTCATAGTTAGTTCATTCAGATTCCTCACAGCTAAACCCATAACCGTTTGTAATGGCATCATCGGTAGAAGACATTACGCGTCTACGAAACTCATCACACCGGAGACCCGACGTCAACAGTTAGCAGCACCATACATACATTGCATGCGCTTATAAAAAAGAACACCCAACTTCCTGATCAATATAATAGTGGAGAGATACTGGCACAGCAGATACCAAAGTAGCGGATAGAGGTCCAGGGAACAGCACAGCGGATAGCGACCCAACAGAGAGCGGGATCAAGGGTCGGAGGGGAGCGCCCTGGGTGGTCGGGCCCGGTTCCGGCCGGCTCGTGGGGGGTCGGCGGCCGGCCGCACGCCGGTATACAGACATCAGACGGCCGTCCGTCCGTCCTATGGCGACGCGGCCGTAAAAACGGACGCCGTCGCGCGCCACCCGGACCGGCCGGGCCTCCGGAGATTGCGGAGGGACGGAGAGCGAGAGCCGCGAGATGTCACAAAGACCTGAGGGTGTGATCGAGAGATGGATAGGCCGGAACTGCCACCCGAGCTGGACGTCCAAGAATAAAAAGTATCTTCATCGGCATCACTAATCAGGCATCACTTTCACAACCGGTCACACCTGAGTGGTTCTTTAAAACGCAAGATAAGATAGTGAGCGTAGTTGTGTTGTCTTGGCGCAGGATACAACCGAACCACTCAAGCCTTTCTGTGAGACTTCAGCTGTGGGTCGTAACAGTTGAGCTGCTAGCTATATGTAACGGTGTGGCGGCCATCGAGAGTGCCACGAGGCCGGGTCGGTGTCAGATGGGAACAGGTGTGTGATATTGCGCTGGCAGAAACGGATGCTGGTGGTTAGACTAGTAGCCAACTGTGGCCGTTGGTAAACGAAAACAACAGCTTAGCGTTTTAGACAAACGGGGTCAATGGAAGGCAGCTGTGCACCAGAGATAGCGTAACGACGTCGTTCGCCGAAATTATCGTAATTTATCGTAACCGTGGTGTCTGCCGCCCGCGTGTGCAGTGGCAGAAAAAATGCGGCATTCCGTGATGCAACGATACGAAATGGTCGATTATCGGGGAAATAAAGGAACTGGAATTACCGGATTGGCGGCCGTGACAAAGTCGCCCACTGACGGCGGCTGACATATCGCAAAGAAAACAACCAAAAACCCATCGAGCAGACATGAATTGGAAGTTGAAGTGCAACTGTCCACATGAATGATGCTGATTCAACTTTCGGGTACTACACAGCCGTAAAACATACAGCACAATCACCGGGCCGTTTACTCAGCCATTCAAACACACAGACAATCGAATACACAGAACCCATAAGGCCGGAATAGAGAGTGGCGGTACTTACATATCATGCATGTCTACAGAGACTTGACTAGCGGCTTTGACTGCCTCGTAGTGGGCCAGGAGGGCCTCCGCGCGCAGTACGGACGAGTCGTCCTCGCGCGGCGTTTGTACTACTATTTGATGGAGAGAGCCGGCGCCCTCGCCCAGACTGCTCCGCACATACTCCAGTTCGCGCTGCAACCGGCCGCCCTCTGGAACAGAACGGGTCACGGGTCGCGTCAGGGGCGGCGCCAGCGACGGCGGGAGGGGCGGTCACAGGGGAGGGCGATGAAATCTGAGGCCAGCAGAGACGACGGCTGGGAGTGGTGAGCGGTTTCAGGTGTCGGACTGAGTGGCAGACGGCGGCGGAACAGGCGACGGTAGGAGTTGTAGCCTGACCCAGCCGAGATGGAGGCGGTCGACGACGGCCAGCGAACCCCGAGGGAAGATCTAAACCCGGCAGTAGAGTTGGAGTAGACATGGGTTATAAGGAGAAAATACAGCAGAACTCGGGCTCAATGATTTATTGAAACAGGTAACCATTCAATCAGCAGCCGATGAGGAGTAACATGACGGTAACACACGCTCAGTGGCGCTTGGAGCACGTTGCAGCTGATAAACAGTGAGCATGGATTCACTCAGTTACCTAACAGTAGAACAGCCCGGCGCCTTGCCAGTTCCCAGTGCTTCAACCTCAGCCAAATATACCTACACCTCCTATTCTTGCACAATCCATCCAACGAAAATAGCTTTGAACTCATCGGCCGAACTCCAATCTAAACGGTCCGATCGACAGGTATTGCTTACTCCCACCTACACATTGCAGCGGCTGCCGGCCCGGGGCTCTGACACACCTCCGAAACCGGGTGTCGACGGACGAATAGCGATCGTATCGGTCCACCGCGCGGCGGATCGCTGATGTATGCGGCGGCCGGCGCGCGGTTACTGTCGCAGTCAGCTCGCCGGGGAGCTGCAGCAGCCGCCGCTCGATGGGCCGCGCCGGGCTATTACCCGGCACCTGTCGGTCGTTCTGTCGGCGCCCCCAGCGGGCCGGTAACTCAGAGCTCGCCGGCCCCGGCGGCGCCGAGTGACTCAACACACCCGGCCGACCCAGCTCGTCTGGGGCTGTTCGAGAGACCCACGGCCGCGCCCCGCGCCGGCGGGCCCGTGATTCATGAGCTCTCCCAGACAACAGCACGTCGTACGTTAGAACTCCGCTCAAAGCATTCCGGCGGCGTTCAGGCGGACTGCAGACAGGGCCGTCAGTCAACTTATCGCGACTTGCATCGCGTTTCCGGTCCCAGAAGGAGGAAAATGCGCCCTTTGATGTGCCCTTGCATGGAATCCTTGTCGAGCGGCAGATGTGACGCGATACAGTAAATCACCGCCCACAATGATGTCTCCCCAGTAGACGGCACGATTTCGTATACTGCAACGACAGACCTAACTCGAGAAAACCTTAATCAAAACTCCACCGGAACCATTAAACGGCATTTTGCTAAAAACAGACTTTCACAATGCATTGACGCACAGAACGCGGACATGCAGAACCTATCGCCAAAGTGAGACCCCTCGCGAACAGGAACACAGGTCTCCGCCAGCCTCACCAGCCACGCCAGCTATCATACCAGCCCGTGGTGGCAGCGGCAACGTCCTCGACCCGACCTTCGCGTCGCCGACGCAGTGCCGGGACGCAGCATTCGGCAGCAAAAAGCGGCACCTCTCGCCCGAATCGTGACTGCCATTTCCCGAGTCTGATGACTTCGTGGTTCCGCGTCGCCGCCGTTGTCAAAAGCCGCGCCTGAGTGGATAATTTCAAAGGCGGCGTCCCGCAGTGCGCTGCGAGTCACCGATGGCGCCTCTGTCGAACTTCGCTGGACGCCCGCCGCGCGCGACATTACTTCGGAAATCGTGGAGCCGCTCTGCCTGTGCCTTCAATGAAAACGACAGACACGTACCCACGGGCGGGCGCTGCACGTAGCGAAGGTTCCATCAAGAGAAAAGCACGTTCAAACAACTGGCCTCTTATCGGAAGCGATCAAGATGTATGCTTCACTTCCGTCATGTTGTCGGCCACACACAGAGACGAATGCTGGCGGGCGGAGTGTTCGCAGAACTGCTTCCAGCGGTCTGATTATATCCAAGATCAGAGGAGGGAGAGCGGAACACCAGCACGGCCGCCGACAGCTGGTGCAGCTGCATGTGTCAGCTCTCTCAGCTATCTGCCCACTCACGGGGATGCAATGGCCTCCCACGTGTGGTCGCTGACAGGGAGCTGCAGCACCCATTGTCGGACCACCGGCGGCGCCGCCTGACTCTCCGTCAGCTGTCAGTGGTCCTGTTCGAGCGAACAAGCACAGCGTCCCTGCTACGGATCCTGTCAACAACATTCGGAAGCGATGCACCCGTCTCTCATCGAAGCGAACACGGCATTCGCTAACGACCAGCGACCTCGCCTGTCCGTCCGTCCTTCGCTCAGATCCCAGCTCGATCCGGCGCTCCGGACTCGATTCGCGCCGTCGCAGTGTGCGCACAAGAAGTCCCCAATCTGTCCGGGGATCGACGGCGTCGTGCACGTGACGGTTATTGGATTAGCGGGGCCGATTGCCGTCCGAACGCACGACCGCACCACACGCCGTCACGACTGGAAAGGGACCCGACACGGCCGGCCGCGTCTGACGGTCGGGCTTTATACGCGTGAGTCACGCTTCTGTATGTGCCGTGGTGTGTCCTCTGAGAGAAAGGGGAACGCTTGAACGTTTCGCTTGGCTCTATTCATCTAACCTACCATGTTTTTTTCGTCAAAGGGCGCATTTCTCATCATGGATTGAGAATAGAGTTTACAAATCGAAATTATTCAGACTACTCAAGGCAACATCCATTTTAGACTCTATGCCTACAAGGACAAAACTGTAAGCACTTCCCAGTGTCGGTGGATCTCTTCAAGCATTATCATTGGACGTAACTTCATTGTCCGCTGTCCCGTAACAACCGGCACTACACCCACACCCATGGCCACGACATGTTCAGTTGTGCTCAAAGTATCACCCTGTGTGGCGAGTGACCTCACCAGACGGTCCGTCCATCAGAGGCCCGGTGAGCTGTCGGCGTTGGTCAGAGGTCACCGGACAGACACCATGTCCGTCCGACGGTCGGACATTGCGGACACGGCCCGTCCGACGGGTTGTTTAGTGCCACCACTACCGGCGGGTACTAATAAGTATTGCATCATGGCCAGGGCGGGCACCGGCCACAGCCGCCGTGATCGTTTGTATGTAGGCCACCACACATCATCGAGGAACTGGAGCGGCTCGAGCAGACTCAAAGAAGCCATCCGTGTATCAGGGTGTCTTGTGTTGGTTCGTTGCGGTACCGTGTAATCACGGGGGAGTATTATGCCAGGTGTAACTCTCTGTACAGCGCCATTACGCAGGCTGCACATCGAGGGCGCGGCGCAGCTCATTTCGACCGAACCCTAAATTCAATCGCTCAGCAGCCGTCTGACGGGCTGACAGGCGGCGTCGTGAGCCGGCCTCCCTCTAAATCGCCGGGGCCCGGCCGCAGTGACAAGGAAACCAAAGAGCGCTCCGTGGCCGCTCCGCCCGGCCCGTTCGCCGAACACGGTCGGCAGGCGCCTTTGATGTCGGGATGCCGCCGGGAGGGTCCTGGTAATTAATGCCGGCACCGACCCACCATGACGGCCCGGGTGGAGCCGCGCGGCTAAAACGGTCCCCGGGCCTGGCTGAGGACGGCCACCGCCGCCGCAACGGAAGGACCACCAAACGAGGGTCGTGTTTCCTCCCGGGATCAACGCACTCTTGCTCGGATGTATTTGATTTCTGCAGCTTAGTAAGACCAAAACGTTATCGAGCCTCGATCCTTTCGAACCGATTTCTCGCCACTGACTTTTGCTTATTTAACAAATTCGTTTATTTAACAAATATCTACGTGAAATCCCAGACCCTGTATCGCAGCTCCCAGCGTCTCGTCACTGCAGTCGGCCACCCCGTGTTCCCGTCACCAAGTCGCGCGGTGCGACGGTGAAAAATGACATCCCGCTGAAGGGGGACCACCCAGGAGCGGGTAGCGGCCCTGGGCTCCGTCTCAGATCGCAGTCAACCCGTCATCGGCTCCCTCCATACAGCCGCCAGTGCCTGCCAGCCACCTGACAAGACAAACGATCCCCGCCGCGTGGCCAATGGCGAACACGTCCCTCAGAGACCGGAGAGCTACCGGGCCATTGTGAGAACAGCGCCAGTCGGCAGCGCGCTGTGTTGAATGGCGAACATGTCCTCAGAAGACTGCACGGCTACCGGGACCATTGTTAGAGCAGCGGAAGCGCAAAGGGTGGGGGCGGCTGAATGGTGAATACACATTCCGCGAAGTCAACGGCGAGACGGTGCTGAATGTCCTCCTTCAGAGGTCGACTCCCAACTTCAGCGCTGGCTTCAGCACCGGCGTGGTTTCTGCTGAACATAAAGCAGAATCCCAAATTGCGACAATCAGCTTCAAGGACATGTAAGTAGCGCATAAGATTTCGTTTCCAGGCTGGTGAAAATCGTTACTGAGCCGCTACCGCGCCTCTGTTGTCTTTCCGCTCATGGCCGTCACTCGGTGCCTCTAATACCTATATCCCGTGGTTCCGACCCCCACCATCCCGAGATTCAAACTCCTGACCCCAAAACCTCCAATACACACCTGCTGCCTCCGGAGCCGAGGGGCGACAGGCACCGCGCATAGATGAATGCTAATGGTATGCCCACTTCCACAGAACTGGATTAACGCCGTCTGACGCCGGGTCAGGTGTGGCAAGCGGCAGTTCCTAGCAATACCGAGAGGCCCTACGACGAACTTCACGACCCAGACTGAAGAGCTCAGGCGCTCCTTGACTGGTGAGTTCTCAGATCTAGGACAGTTCCGCGCGATCAAGTCAGAAACAGTCGATAGGAACAAACCTTGACAGTTAACCAATAGCATGATGGCAGCATTTCACTGCTCATTTCGTTGAATCCAACTCGAGGTGCCGATCGATAGGCGCGACGTCACCCCTATCCGCACTGCCAGGGAGAGAGGCTCCCAACAAGAGCAGCGAGGGAGGGGGTGGCGGGGAAACGGCAGCGCGCTGTAGCGAGGGGAGAGAGAGAGTCGCTTTCAGTCTCCATTCCCCGCTGCGGGTCGAGCAGCTGCCTGCGGCCCTCCCGGCCCGGCCCGG